AGTGCTTTTGTTGCCTTGGGTTCCTCATTGGTTTTTATTAGGAAGTCATTCTCTCTCTTGATGATGACATCCTTGTTTCCTTCCCTCACTTTCTCCCATTCTAGGGCTAATTGAATTCTACATGTTGTATTTGGTGCTACTACTGCGAAGGTGTGTGGGAAGTTGAATCGTTGATGTTGTGGTGGCAATGTTGTTGTTGTTGTTTTTGTTGTTACGGCTGCTTTTGAGGTGGGTGACAATGGTTGTTGCTGATTCGTTGAAGCCATGGAGGTTTCAGCCCTGTCGGTTGCTGGTTTTTTGGACAAAGGCGTTGGTGTTGGCGGTGAGGTGGGGTTAGATTTTGATGTCCGACCTCTTTTCTTGGATTTCGGTCTCAGGAAGTAGCCTTCCTGGGAAGCGTGGTCCGATTCGGACTCCCGCGAACTCCCAGGATCCATGCTTATTAGCTATGAAGCCCTGTATATTGTCCGAAATCCGCTTTAAATTTTACTATCGACAAAACAAACTTTTTTCGATTGGAATGTCCGGATTCCTACCGAGCACGTCCTATTCGCAGTAAAGCTATCGCAAGACTCCACCTTTTATATAATTACATTATTAATTTATTTATTTCAAATAAAGGAGGCATAATATAGAAAATGTGAACTCGTTTTAATGTAAATTGAAACAATGTGAAGAGCAAAATAAAAAAAAATTGTAGGACCAGTTCAGTGGTTATTCACGTTGAATGCCCGTACTAAACCCCTTGACTAATTAATTAATACAAAATTAAACTCAATGGAAATTTACTGTTGACTCAAGTCAGGTCAGGAAAACTGTTGACTCAAGTCTCTCGCTTATTTTAAATGGGACACTCTATACATTTTAACATTGCCAGGCGTACAATTTGAACACAACATGAACCCTCTAAAGTCAATTCCAGATAATTGCGATTTTTTACACAAATTATTTTTTTAATAAAAATTCATGTAGGTCGGCATTATTTGACTTAAAACCAGTGAATCAGTGGCGTATGCAAAAGTTTTCAAAAGCAATCGAATAAAGAATGTGAAGTAATAGATTCATTAATAGAAAATACGCATCAAAGTCCAACAAATGTGTTCACTCAGAGCGGACACGAACGAGTGTTTCGAAAATAATTACAAGATTTAAGTTTCATCGATCTAAATGGTTACACAAAGAATTATACGATCGGGATTTCGAGGCCAAAATTAAGTTTTACGTAGTCCTTGTAAAATCTGCAAATGAAATACACTTTTTTTATTTTTCCATTTACAAATACGATGGAGTGGAAGATGGTGTACGAACGAGTACTTTCAAAGTAATGTTCTAAATTTTTTTAACCCAAAATGTTCAAGTAAGTGGATCGGAAAAGATAGTGTCTGCAAAATCGGTCCCGGCTCGGTCTCCACAGGTTTAATTTTTTATGGGGCTCCTTTAAAGATATAGTTTAAAGACTCCTCTTACCACTCAGGATAACATGAAAGAACGCAGGAAAATTGGGCGATATTAGAACATTTTAATCATCTGGCAAGTCTCAATGATTCGATTTACTTAATTATTTCAGTAGTTGTAGTAATTATTGCTTTCAAGTGTGTGAATTTAGTGTCAGCATTTTTCCCGTTGTTGTTTTCAAACAAAAACAAAAATTCTCGTACCAAAATTCGTAATAAAATCGTTTCACTTATAAATAATAAAATAAACAAATAGATAAAACATAATAACATAACAAATAAATAAAATTTGCTGCTCAACTTATCGGATTCTTAGTAAATAATGCTATATTGGCCTAATTTAAATTATCCCCGCATAAACAGCAGGGCACGAGTATCTTGACTCTTTGACACGAAGATTACGCCGCTTAAACCATAGCAGGCACATGCAGTTTAATTTGCGGTTTTGTGCAATAAAGTCCTACTAAAGTAAAACATCGAGTAAACATAAATATCTGAAAACCAGTTCAAGTTTATGAACTTCCATAAAAGTTCTCACTAGTTTGCTACTGCTAAAGTAATGCTGAAAAGTCAGTTGTATTGCAGTATCAAAATGCAGTGAAATCACCAGCAGGTAGAAGAATCCGCAAGACAAATGGTAAGATTTTCTCACTCTGAACATAGGCAAGTTGATAATTTTCTTTTATATTTTCTAATATTCAATGAGAGTATGGTAATAAACTTTTGGTATTTTGTCGAAGTAAAAGAATTATTTGTTTTGCCTGAAAATGTGCACTCGGTAAAGACAAGTATATTGAAGATCATCTTTTCAACAACGGACGTTTCGCATGCATTTTCGAGAATCATTCTCTTTTTGTTCATATTTTATCAGCATAACATCAAGCCATGAAGGGCAGCAAAGTAATATTTCCGCCATTTACCAATCGCGTTCTAACATTTTCGTCGCTTCATATGAAATTGTTAATTGATGAACAAATATTTCAACGCAATACCTACTCTCCTATAAATGCCTGGTATCGCAATGCAAAGGCGTGTTTTTCTGTGAACTGGCATAATTAAGCCACAATATTGAATATAAGTCGCACAGTAATTACGAATAATTATAAAATCGACTCTCATCTCTTCCCAGAGATATTATACTATGTTTAGTTTAGAATTCTCAAAAAAAGCAAACACTGACTTAGAACAGCTCATATTCACTAAAATATGATTGGATGTAGAAGCGACAATCCCAGACTTTTAATTTGGAAAGTGGGGATCATCACATTCAAGATACAAGCGTTGATTCATTCATTCATTCCCGAATTTGCAATCTACCGGTTAAACGCGCCAAAAAGAAAACACATTAATCAGAAATATTTTTAGAAATCAAAATAATTTGGGCAAAACATGGTATTTTTGTAACTTGAACTATGGGATCATCAATATAGTGGATAGAAGAACCAGATTTATCAGTGAAAGCTGTGTTTTGTGAAACAGTCGGTTCAAGGAATTTACATCGAACCTACAAACACCTAAAGTATATCCATACAGTAAGGTCAGTGACTAAAATTGAATATCCATAAATATTGATCGATTTGCAGCAATAAAAATTACTTTTTTTCACCTTTAAGAAATTATTAGCACCCAACCCAATGGGTTTTTAAGAATTGAAGTTGTATACAATCACTATCTGATATGCAATTATACTTTTTTATTTCTCTATAAAGTTATATTTGATCATTATTTGCAATATATAAATAGATGTAAAAATAAATAAAAATAGGGGCTTAACAAGGCCACCTTTTTTTAAGTTGACCCTTGATTAATTTGTTATCGTGTTTCTGGAATTGACGAAAGCGTTTATCGCGACCTAGTAAGTAAAAGCGATCTATTTATTAAATAATAAACAAAGTTGTAAGTAAACAAGTAAGTTTACTTACAAATGAATATCAATATTTTTATCTTTATTTCTTTCGCAAGCTTGGGCTTATCGTTCAATTTATGTAAATTTCAAAAACGGATAGGCGATTTGCGTATTTTATTGAAGAAATTAAACAAGTCGTTAAAGTTTGGCTATACATTTCATGGATCAAAATATGTCGGTTTCATTATTTTTAACTTATGCAGATTGAATGATCAAGATCGCAAATGTTTTCGTTAATTGCAATTTTTTTTAAATTGTTACAAAAAATCATACGTTTCTCGTACAATCATTTTAAAGCGAACATGGATCGGTTTTCCTGGGTGATTAAACAGTTTGGTCTTATCTTATCCAAAAAAGATAGATTACTGTCGTGATTTCTCGGTAATTCATATATTAATGATTTACTGCTTAATACCTATTAGTACATTGCCACTTCAGAAAGTTAAAAATATTTAATTCATTATGTTTATTATTTGATTTCCAACTTTTCTTTTCACTTTTCTGCAGTAAAAAAGTTCCAATCATGTGGGCTATTTGAAGGAGATAGTATGTGGTTTGAAATTTATAAATTCCCATACAAAGCTCAACTCTGAAATTTCCAAAATTGTAAATTTAGATCAAGCGAAAACATGTGGCCGAAATATGTAGAACGCCTGTACAAGGCGATTTAGAATTGGCGTCATTCCTTTGCTACTACGGTTGTTTTTTACAAGAAAATTGGTTGTTCTGTCGCAAGCAAATGTTCCTTGATCTCGAACTTTGGAAAGAACTCTACTATTACTACACTGATCAACTAAACGAACGTTACACAGCCAAATTTACCTTGAAACTGGATAAATTTTGATTGCTTCAAGCGATTTTGTTTCTGTTTGAAGTGGTATTGATTTGCTCCTGAAACCTGTGATTCTGGTTGACTTTCAACTGAAGTGAGGTCCGCTTTCAAATATTTTGTGTATTTATGCAACTCGGAATATCGATTTCTTTCTCAAGTCCACTGATCAGCCTCTAATTTTGAAAAATGTTTCAAGGGAAAAAATGTATCACTACAAGATCAAAAGACCACTTGAAAAATTCACGGGATATGAGGTCTATCTATCTTAATGTCTGAGGTTTTTAAATACAAAAGAAAAACGTTTTTTTGTCCTCTGAGACCATGTGGAACTTTCACTAATTGTGCAATTTTTCATTGGGTAAAACGACCCGTGACTGTATCAGAACCTTGGCAATTTTAACTCAAAAATCCGACAAGGAGTCCTAAAGGTCAAATTATGAGTGTTAAATTAGTTAAACAGTTTTGTGACTATCGAACTCAGTAAATGTATAACATTAACAACTAACAATAACTCAAATGGGTGTCATATTGCTTTGGAAACTCATTTAAAAAACTAAATTTTGACGCTCTAAATTACTTTATTTAGTTTTGCATTTTTTTAAACGCTTTTTTTGACTGCTTTTCCTCTAGTGGTTAAACACTTACAAAGGAATAACCCCCTCTTAAATCACCCTGTATATCGCATGAACTAAACAACGCAAATTGAACATCAGTGACTAATTAGTGTTTCTACGCAAACGTTACTAGAAAATACATGTTTAATGAATCCAATCAAAAGTGACTGTAAATATATAAAGTTAAGTGAGACATGTGGATTTTTGTATCATAACCGGTCAACAGCAGCTCAAATAAATAAATAATCGCATGCGTTTAATGCGAAAGGACATGCCGGAAATTGTTAATATTTATCGTTGATACAGCGCCAAAACAAATAAGTACCAACTCCAATGAAATTAAACGAATGTAACCAGTATAGAAAACTTATGTAATCGTAGCATATTCGCGCAAATGCGAGCTAATTGTAAACACCTCATTATTTAAACAAACAAAGGCGTTCTTAATGAATTTATGTTCAATTTGATGATAATGTTGGCAAATGTTTATCAACCTTTCAATAGTGATGGTAAAGGTGTACTACTAATTTATCTTGCCGTTTCAGGGAAAAACATTTAAAATGTTTAAATATTTGCTTTTTCCTCTGTCAATCCTTCTACTGAACACCTGGATAGTGGCCGGGATTTTCGAATGCTGTCCTGGAGAGAATAACGTAATTTTCTTGTCCAACAGTTCATGTGGTGATAAGGAATTAAATATAAACGCTACTATTAATTTGAACTGTAGCATAAAAATACCTCTTGCCAGAGAAGATTGGGAAGAATACGGATTTATCAAAGTATTCGATAATGGAACAATATTAGATAATAGCATGAAGGAGACAAAGTAAGCATTGAATATAATTAATCCCGTTGAACATTTAAATAATTGTATAAAATTATGCGATTCTACGTGTAGCTTACTGCTGACTTAATTATATGATGTCAGAAAATTAAAATTCGACTCGCTAATATCTTTTCAATTCATAAAATATTAACGAGAAGCAGATTTTAATCCTGCGGCAATATAACATATCATATCACGCAGTTCGTGTATAATTAATTAATCATTTAAAAATCTAAACATTCGTAGGTATTGCCATGCACTTGATGGAGATCAGCCGCCTAATACTAACAATTCAGTGTATATTTTTTGCTATGATCCCTACTGGGAAGACACTTTTGTGCTCGACATGCTTCACATCCAAAGTTTTTTAATTTTAATTTCGGCAACTTTCGTTATATGCACGATTTTAGTCTACTTTATGGTTCCCCGTTTACTGGATTTACAGGTATATAGCGTGTGTTAGTTTCCAATTGGATTTCTTACCGCCACACGATTTTTAGGGAATATGTATGGTGCACGCACTAATAGGACTGTCGGCGTCTTATATATTTTTGAGTGTCGTCCAGCTGGCCAGAATACCCGATTACACCACCTGCACCACTCTAGCCTTCATAATTTATTTGAGCTTTTTCTATATGTTCTTTTGGTTAGCGGTGTTGTCTTTCCATATTTGGAGAATAAGCGTGTAAGTAACCGCAATTATATTTTACGTGATAACGCGCGTTTTAAGCTTTGATGCATCGAGTAAAAATCATAAACAGTTTCCTAATGCTGCTTCTAGACAACCACATCTTTCAGAAGGAACAATCAATTGGCCTTTGATGTACCACATTTTTGCGATTGGAGGAACTGGGCTATTCTTGACAATTATATTAATAGCACATTATTCGCCATCCTCAATTTTTGATAGTATTCGTCCAGGGTTTGGAGAAAGATCGTGCTGGTTTCAATGTAAGAATGTATTTTATTTTTAGTTTTTTTATAGTTTTGAGTGTGGTTTCTTATCGAAAATTGGCTCAGAATACTGGGGGGTTTGTAAATGGCTCAAAAGAAGTGAAAATGAAATGTGTACAATTACAAGTTAATATGTGGAAAGAAGTAGTTTAGTCGGGTCTCAAAAAAAAACATTCGGTATCTTCTTTGTGAGCTAAACGAAGAACCAAGTGGCAATTTCGAATAGAAGCCCGAAAATCTTATTACGACTTCAAATGCTTATGCAAAACTGAAAATGTTTTATCTCAAAAACTCTTTCGATTTGTGAAGACGTTCCTGCAAACCTTTTTCAATGTTTTTTTAGACCTACTGAAATCATAAAACTTCCTTTTCTTATAGACACGCTTAAAATTGTAGTAAGCCAGTTTCAAAAGAATCATCAATACATATCTATTTCATTAACCGCTCAAATCCTATTTTCAGTCGCAGACACAACAGAAATTCAAAAATTGTAACAATTAGTAGATTTTGAACTTCTAATTTAAATAAGAAAGTTTACATTTCAACTTTTCAAAGCACACTTTCGCAGAACATTTCGAAATCTGTATTTGCTTACTTAGGAAACCTTTCACTCGACGCCGAACCGATTAAAAATTCATAAGCAAACTAAAGTGGGAATTTTGGGAGTGCTATTTCCAGAAGTTTTCATGTAACACCTGTGTTTTGTAATTCATTATTTATTACCGAAATATTTGGCTGCTTCATGGGCAAGTAGATGTCTGAACGTACCTACTTTTCAACTCTAATAAATAACAATTTTCGATATTGTCAAAAATAAAGATACTTTATTCTTGTGCAAAATTCATATTTTCGAAATACCGCATATACGACAGAAAAAAATCTGATGGTTGCATTTTAGGTTTTGGACCAAGCAGAACTTTTTATGAAGAAAAACTTTTTTCCTAAAATTAATAATAAAAAAGTGTCCCATATGGTGCGAACTTAAGTAGACACACTGTATATATATCTTCTATGTGTAGTTTCAAACTTCAAAGACAAAGCAGCCACATATAAAATATCCATAAACTTCAGCCATGGGAACACATTGTTTTTTTCTTTTGTTCACCCCAGTTCCTGATAATATAGAAATAATCCTTCAAAAGCTTAGCAATTGAAAAAAATTCAATTACCTAATAAAAAACCACATTCAAAAGCAACAATTATCAATATAAATTGAAATTTTATTCTGTTTTTCAGCTAGATCCAAAATTTGGATTTTTTTTTACGGGCCCATAGTTGTACTTCTGATATTAAATATATTATTATATGTGTCCACCGTCGTTACTCTATGGCCGAAAGTCAATAGTACTCGAAATAAAGTGTTAAAGTATAGGTAAGACTTACCTAAAAATTATTCCATGATTCTTAACGCTCTTATTACACGTTTTCAGAGTGAAACTGTGCCTAAGACTATGCGTTATTATGGGCATTACATGGTCCATAGAAATATTTACATTTATTTTAAACAGCGACAAATCGTCGACAGCAGGCCGAATAGTGGTGTAAGTACAAAAATAATTAGTAAATAAATGTTGTGATTACTAAATAAATAACAAGATAAAGTATCTAACGAAAAAGTTTGTAGGTTTATTCTGGATTTGGTAAACACGTTGCAAGGAGTTCTGATATTCCTAATCTTGGTGGTATTCAGGAAACGTGTTAGAAGGGAACTGGCTAACAAAAACTTGTGCAACATAAAGTTTCCAAATTCGTGGAAATACCTTGAAGATGAAGAAATGGACAGTGCGGAACAAAAAACAAACGGAACGATTCTGTGTTATAGACCGAGTGAAGATGTTGACGCTGAAATATGAGAATAGTTGAAGATTCCTTCCTGTCCAATTCAATATTGAGTGCCATATGGAATGATGGAACATTAAATTGCCATATATTATGTGCAATTAAGATTCCTTGCTAGCAAATAGATTATCAATTATAATTTGAATTTAAATTATCATGACATTTAACGGAAACAACGGTGGAATTCTAATACGTGCCATTCTTAGTGGCGACTGATGTGAATTCAGAAAGAGCAACTGGATTTATTCTTATTTACATACACGTATAATCTGTATAGCTGTGAATAAAATGATGTTCTTGTAATTTATTAATATATTTTTGTACCTAGTTCTTAATTGTTTGATTTTTAAAAAGCAAACATCTTTTTACAGAGTTTGTTAAGCAAACATACGGGAAGTTTCTTTTATGGTGTATATTATTATTTATTATTTTTTATTATTATTTTATATACTTTTTAATATCATACTTTGATCACAGACTTAAACAGTGGAAGCATATTGCTTAATTCTTTGGGAGTAGACAATCTCAGAAAAAAACTGTTCAAAAACCGTACATTTCCACTCACGGTAGATTGCAAAACTGTGCGCTTTTGAAATGATTACAACATGCAGCAAAGAATGCATCGACTTGTCAAACACCCTGTATATGTTTTAATCTAATTCATTATTTAAAAGGACTCTAGGAACGTTGCCAAATGTAAAGTCAGCATGGTATGCAAATTACTTCCAAGGTCCCAGACAGTTACGTCATCCGCGTCATTCGATGACTCAAAAAGTGAAAATATTATTTTCCCATTTTATAAACGTTTACTCTAACTATACAGCATCTTATTTATACAAGTGCTATAGGCAAAAATAAAGCAAAGTTTACAAATGAATAAAAAATATCAAGTGGTAAAATCGAATAAATCGGACAGGCACCTAACCTAAAACAACAAAGCCATACAAAATGAATTACAAGAAAATCCTGTGTCTTCTACTGGTGTTTTCTATCGGAAACTGTGATGAACACGAAAGGCCAATTGAAAATACCATATTCGTGCCGAAATGTTGCCAGCAGGATCAAATATTTTTAGGAAAATACTGCACTTCGGTTAATAAAACCAATCAGTGGCACCCCTTGTTTACCTCCGAAATCGGAAAGCCTAACTTGCAAGTTAACCACAGGTATTTCACTCATCAGATGCCATTGTTGGGATTAGACAATATGGTTTTTATAGATTGATAATTGGCATGCCCAACTGTGGGCATATGCAGTTATGGCCTATTTATCACTACCAGGCTTCAGCAGATAAATTAAGACTGCTCCCAAATGGGATTTTAAGACATTACTTTGATACTCAAGTTCCTAACGAATTTGAGGCTGACAATGAATATACAAATACTCTGGAAGAAAGCAAATTGTACCATGATTATCCGATCAATAAATATTGCTTAGATAAGGTAGAAATCAAAGATGAATTGTGTCTAACTGCCATATTGTTTGCATGTAATGTTTCAGAGAATTGATGGGGTTTTAATAAGCGAGTTTGCATGGGTGTGCACTCCTGATCATAAAGATCAATGGGCAAGCAATGAATTTCTAATGTACAATATTATTAGCCCTATTACACATGGAATTACCATTATCTGCCTTTTGGCGATAGCCATAATATACTTCATAATGCCAACATTACGCGATTTGGCAGGGAATATTGTTACAACAATCTGTATGTGCCTTATTGTAAGTCAAATTGCGGACTTAGTGAGACTTTTAACAGTATTTAAAAGCCATATAAGTCTGCTAATAGCAGGTAAAATTAAATGCTTAGCTATTGTACTTAAATCTACTGATCACTTAATTTCTAGAAACGATTTGTTATATCAGCCTTTTAGGTGCCTTCTTTTGGTTAAATAGTTTAGGATTTTACATCTGGAAAACATTTAGGTAGGTCGTATTTACGTCAATTTGAATCCACAATCAACTACTTTGAATTTAAAGATCGAGAAATGTGTTTCTCAGAATAACAGACGGGAAAAAGTATTGTTACTATGGGGCATATGCATGGTCTTGCACAATTATACTGGGATGCTTGGCAATGTTTGCTCATTTTACGATGGATTATGCAGACTTGTCAAGTGAAATTACTGTTGATCAGCCCAGAGAACAAATTGGTAAGTGAAGAGTTGCACATTTTTAGAGAACTTCATAACAAAGTGTGATTATTAGGTTCTTTGGCAATGATTATATTTTTCGTGCCGGTAGCATTCACTGTACTGGCAGATGTATTTTTCTTTGTAACCACTCTTAAGAAAATTAATCGAATGCACACTTATGGCAGAATACATCACAAATTGCGACACAGGTATGAAGATTATTAAGCATATTCACACGGGGATACTGATGATATTTTTTTACCCTTAGTTTCAGAATGTTCATTTTGCTACTTCTCATAATGACGCTATGCTGGCTTTTCTTCTTATCTTCATTCTCAAAATATGAAGCCCTAATTAACAGTCACATATTAATTAACACATTGCTGGGACCTCTTATGATTTATATTTGTGTTATTAACCAGGCGCATGTTTCCTTTGTGTTAAAAAAATCATGTTGTTACCAAAATTGTATATTTCCCTGTTGTCGTCCGGAGCCCGACAATGAATGGGGAGATGAAATGACTGCTATGAACAGTGATTACTATGTCGAGTCGCACAGCTTCAAGCCCACTCATTAAAGAGGTAGGTCAGATGGAGACGTGTTTTCCATGAATCTCATGTATGTCTTAAGTTACATTGGAAATATTATTTAAGAAAAGTGTGGGGATATAAAGTTTAATAAATTAATATATTTTTAATGCTTGACTAACATTGAGTTATGAACAGTGTGTGAGTACAATGTTTCAACTACTTGAATGGATGAGAATGTTATAGCAGTAATGTGTATGTAACTTTCTCAATTAAATGTTTTTCCTTTGGGATTATTATTATATTAATAATGTAACAAATCACGTCAATTGGAATAATTCCGATTAAATTCTGTTCATTCAGCGTGCGTTTTATCCCGTAATAAATTAGGCAGTTCTTTCTAAAAGTTACTGTCCACTTTGAATTAATTTGACTTGTGATACGAAAACAGCTAACAAAAGATCTGATATACAATAACTAGAATTAAATTATACTTTGTTTTATCAATTAAGCGTTGCTTTATTTTTGTAGAGATTGCGAAATAAAATCGGCGTTTAGGGACCAATTTATTAAAATAAAAGTATTTGTATTAATCGAGTTGGTAGCAATTGTTAATGAATTTAATATTATGGTTGAGTACACAGTATTACTTAAGATACACCTATACATGTACTTAATTTTTATTAAATCAATATTCTTGTATTATCAGAGTGTTTGATTTATGATGCTCCAAGGACTTGGTGCAAAACCTAGGAAAGATGCAAATACCAAACTTCTACTAACTTCAAGGAATTCAAAAACATGATTGTAGTTCCAAAATAAAAGGCCCCACGGATTGAATGACACTGCTTTTTTTAGATAAGCGCCATTTCTCGAAAAATATTGAGTGTGTTTTCCACAGTCACTTTAATATTCGTAAGTGTAAGTTTCATGCACATGCATTTTGTGCTTACCTGGCTGAACAGATGCCCCTCTGGTCGCTTAATAAGTCCAGATAACCAACACCTGACGACAACATGGCAATCATCTAAGACAGTGTTGAAGAACCGCCTGGTGGGCAGTAAGGCTTCCAGGTCGATAACCAGTTCGAGAAAGCGCTCACAATAGTGAACCTGCATCAAGTTACATTGTCACCCACAATGAATTGCCTGTTTTCCGTTTGTAAATACCTTATCTGGAGGGCAAATTCCTGCTTCCCCGATACTATCCAGAACCAATAGAAATTTCAGCATGAGTTTCTGCAGAAACGTTCTTTCCCACGTCAGTTTCTCCAACTGATCTGGTTTGTCTTTTCGCTGAATTGCTCGCCAGAACTTTTTCCATCTGGGATTCAGCTTGAATTCATGTTCGCGACGACTTGGTTGCAGTGAGATCCACATGGACAGGGAGACAAGTCGCTTCACTTGATCACGACAAATTGCTTCTTCCATACTATTAAAACAGTGATTTAGAAAAATCAATAAGGCTGTTTGTTCCCTGATATTGATGAGGAGCTCATCTTCCAGGCACGATTCGAGAACTCTTTGGAAAAAATCCGGGAAGAATTCGCTGTCTTTCCTGAATGCCTGAAAATGTAAGTTTTAGGTAAATGAGTTGTGTAAAATGGGCGCTTGCAGTTGCTTACCTGCCAAACTTGCACTCTTTCTCTGAACTTCTCATTAACCATTATGACGATGGATAAAATGTGAGCGACTGATGCTCCCGGCTTGTAATTTGGCCATAGAAAATTTTCAAGGTACTGGCTAAATTCCAGAACCATGATTCGCCTGATGGAAAAGCTGTAATAGTTCATAAAATGTTATTAATTAATGTAATCGGAACTAAAATTGAAATACTACTCACTTGCTGCCTCGAATATCCTGCATGTAAATATCTTCAATAACATCAGGATTAAATTGCTCGTGCTTCTGTTCAGAATGGGGTGCCCAATATTTTTCAGCCAACTGCAGAGGCAATATATTAAATAATTATTAGTTTTAAATAATTATTAGCATTAGTTTAAAGTGAAAACCAAACCGGTACCTGAGTTAAACGATCAGTCTGAATCTGTTGAACTGTTGGTGCAGTAATATTCTTCTCAAGATTCACAGACATGATGAGCAAAAGAGCACTGGCTTCTACTTATTACTTGCTATATAGTTTTATGTATTTATATATTAGTTTTAAAGCATAAACGAAACGATAATACGAACTAAAATGCTGCCGAACTGACAACAAACATTCTTAGGTTACGTTCATAGATAAAGACGAGTAGTTACGTTACCGCTAAAATCACTGATATACAAGCCATTTGAAGACAACCAATAATACATTTCTAAATTGAAATAGTGAGTGGGTTTCAGATACAGGGTAATTTTGATGAAATTTCAACTCTGTATATCCCAAAGAAGTTATTGTGACTTGTCTTGAGGAAATAGGGATTTTTGACTCACAGCAATTCACAATTTGTCCATAAATTAAAAAGCAACACCACTAAGGAAAGTTGTTAGTGAAGAGATAATCTTCACCTAGAGAAGAATGTTAATTTCTAAAGCGAGGGTCTGCTAAACCAGAAAATAACCGAAATTTCTATGCGGTAATTTTGTGGAGTTGGAAAAAAAATTTGTTAGTTGTTAGTTTGTTGAAAATGTTAGAAAATAAAGGGAAATATTTTGAACCTGCAAATACTTTCACAGATTTCGATTTTTCAAAAAGTGAAAGATTTTCGTCTTTTAATTGCATTTTAATTGATAGAAACATTGCTTGGCGTTCACATCAAATGTGCTTCAAGTGGCGTATTGACTAATTCGAAAACCAAATTTAGCTTTTTTCCCAGAAAGACAATTTAAAATAATTGACGCAAAAAATACGTTTACCGGTCAAAACTTAACATAAAAATGAACGATTAAACAGAATAAAAATAAAGAATATCGGAAAAAATTATCTGTCGTTTACTTTTTAACGGCCTTTAAATTTTGACGGTATTGTTACAGAATCGACTTGATAAAACCCATGATTTTCCTACATTTTAAGTAGTTTCAACTAGAATAATAACATTGGATGAAATTGCATGAAAAAGATAATAAAAATAAAATTTCCTAATCATAAAATGATGCCAATTTAACTGTAGGAGTTTAGTTTTTATATTAATCTAATTTAGACCGAATTCTGGGCCATAAAATTGTTCACGATTTTTGCCCCTAGGTACTTTTACCATTCTCGTTTAATGACTTTAAATCTCGCCACAAATTAAAATTCATTAAAATCCCTCACAAATTAAAATATCTTTCGTAATATTGGAAAACACTGCCGGTAAATAAACATACACACATATGTAAATAAAATAAAAAGTATTTATTAAAACATAACTAAGGTAACTTTGAAGCTAATTGTTTTTTTATTTAAATAATAAAAACTTTATGAATATTCTTATACCTGTGGTAAAGAGTAATTAGTTAATCTTTGTCTCCCATATGGCTTTTCCAAACTTCAAACTTAGCTTTTAAGATGCGAAATTTGTCATCATCTTTCGTCGGCGTAAAAACATCTTCACAACGGGGCTGTTTGCATATTTCTTCATAGGAGCTCCAAAAACCTGATAGATATGAGTGGCAATGGATTCATCCAAAATGAAATGTTTTATACATAGTGTGATTTTTATAAAAATCAATTTCAAATCCCTTTGATCAAATAAATCCGAAAATAAGGAATATTTTTCTGTTTGCTCTATTTCTGAAAGTGTAGGTACATAAAAGTGTTTAATGAAAAATATTCTGCTAGTTAACAGAAAAGTCTCAAAAAGATTAAAATTGTTAAAAAAAACGGCAGGTAAGTGTTCATCGAACGTGAACACTTTGAGGATAAATTATAATAACCCCAAGTAATATAAACCCGGCAAACTAAATTAATTTAAAAATGAATAATATTATTAGTAAGTAATTAATAAATAAAATTATTAAAAATAAAACTAAAGCTGAAAATTGTTACGAATCCTCACCACATTTAATTCCAGCCATATAAGCTACTCCCAAAGTGGACATTTCTCCCTTGATTCGTCTTATTGTAAATCCGAGCAAATCAGCCAGAGATTGGCAGATAAAGTCGTTTTTCGCAACCCCACCATTAAGCCTGCAGGATCAGAAACTAGTAAAAGCTTACCGGCTTTGATGACCATACCTTAAACATTGGAGGGGCGCCCTGTTTAAAAGGAAACTACCATTAGTTAGCTGGTAGACATGGAAAAGTCGAAACACTATGGATTCCAACACAGATCTGATAATGTCCTCTTTTGTACAGTTTGAATTGCTGTTGTTCTGGAAAGTCTTGGGAGTTGAAACAGAGTCATTTTATCCAGTAAGATATTAAAAAACCACGAAACTAAAGCAAAAATATAGTCACAAATATAGATTTGTGCGGTGTATTACAAATTGATTCTAATGCTGAGCTTACAAACAACCACTAGCTACTTACTTCAACTCCAACTGTAGGCGACACCAAGGAACATTCTAAACCATTCCTTCCATCGGGAGATATAACGTCCAGTTCGCTCAAGCTTGAAATTATCCCTTAAAAATGATAATGCCCTTGATATGAAATTCAACCAATGAACCTGGTCAATTCTAATTATTTTCACATACAACATTCACAAACACCTCAAAGAATATCAGCACTAATGTTTTACCTCTCGTCAACATAGATTCGATCAAAGAACCCACCTCCGAGCAACCAATTTCCGCAAGATAAATGGCGTGTTTAGGACATTGTTGATTGCTCAGTTGATCCCAACCGACCAAAGGATATACTTCAGGGGCAGTCATTCTGATCTGCTTGCCAAGATTCAGATTCAAAAATCCTCCAGTTCCCAGGGTCAATTTCAAGTCACCCTCATTGAAGCTCCGCAAACCGTACATGGCTGCTGACTGATCCGACATCTAAATTAAACGCAGATTAATTATTCCAACTATGTCCAGTATGCTCCAGACCACTTACCACTGCATCGATTTTAATGGATACGCCGAAAAATGTGTCTACAGTCATGCCGAACTCGTCGTCATTAGATAGGACAGACGGCAAATGTATATTCGGCGAATTGAAATAGTTGAGAAGAAAGCTCCAGCAGTGGCTGAAAGGATCATACATTCCAGTGGCACTCGCATTGGACATATCAGTTACATATTTATCAGTTCCGGTAAGTTTATATACGAGCCATGTATCTAAAGTGGCAAATATCACGTTGTTTTCCTTTAGAGCCTGTTGCAGTTTTTTATTGGTGCGTGCGAGCCACATCAACCGAGGTATCACCTGCAAAAAAATCATTTTGTTCAAATATAAGAATCGCTTTCCTGGGGGGACGCCAAAAATCCCTCCTTCGACCTTCAATCTTGATAATGTCAGCCGTAGCCTAGAGCGCCGGCAATCTGAGCCAGTAAATGGCCTAAGCCACGCCCCCCGTTCCCATTGATGCAAAGACCAGCCGGCACCTACCAGGTGTCGGTTTGGTGGAATATATGGGAAGTCGCTTATAAGGACCCTGGGTTACACCATCGTTTGCCCTAATTTTCTTCTAGTTTTGAGCAAAAAATGCAGTGTTTATCTTTACCATCCTGAGATCTATCTGCTACTAAAAATGCGATTTTGCGCAAACCAATCCGATTTTTTTTCATTCACTATCATTCTTGCTACGAGCGAAGATGGTCATGTTAACATGCTATGAGGAGCAATCAAGACTGAAAATGTTTAACATCAAAGTGCGCATTTTGAGCTGAATTTTTTTTGTTTCTTCATAACTGTACGGAAGAGTGGGAGTTCAACATTACCGGGTGATTCAAAATATACTACACACAGAAAACTTAAAAACATGTTAGTAACATCTACAACAAATTTAAGAAAAAACATTTTCGAATCATAAAATAAAACGTTCCCGCTCCTCTTTCGTTATCTAACGATTTTTTAAAAACTGTTGATTGTTTCGAGAAAATGTAGGAAATTAAGACTGAAAATTTTTACTAGTCTGACTAGATTAGGTTAATTTACGAAATTCTTTGTGGCAAATATCCACTTTACCCCACGGTTCAGATCTTTATTTTAATCGCCTGGATTTCGACGCACTCAATATAACAGACTATTCCAGAAAAAAAAATAACACATGCATCTGCTTATGACAAAAATTATACATACGGCTTGGTACAATAATACTTACATGGCCACTGGTGAACTTGAAATTACTGGCAATTCCAAATTTTGCAATGTTGCTCATAAGATACAACAGATAACATCCAGCTCGTAAAATCTGAAACAACAAATCATCTAAACTTTTAGACATATTTCTATCAATTTACTTATTCGTAAAAGGACTAAATCTAGATAAATTACAGACTAGATAATACTTATATATTATACAGTGTTGATTATTTGAAGAACACGATATTTTAAAGTTCAAATATACCTTCTTAAAACTAACCCACCATCATTTTCCATGAATTGTTCAGTTCCTTGGCTTGTGCTTCTGCTCTGATATCCTTCCAAGTAATAAAGTTGTGAAAATACTCTCCAGTTGATTTGCTCCATGTAATGAAAGTTCCTCTATGAGTAGAAATGGCTAATGATTCCAATTGGTGCTTGCTAACATTGGCGTCTGGAGAATATCAAATGAGGAAATTCAATGTGATTTTCCTTTACATCAGCGCATACACCAAGAGCTCTTTATGCATCATATAACATTTAATTTTGTTCGAATATAAATGTGGATTATTTAGGACAAAAGCAGACAGTATCTCAACACAATGCAAGGCAGGAAAGTAAAACTAGCAATTTTTTTTTTCAAACCTACGTTTTTTTCAGCATAAAAAAGAGTAATTTTAAGACTGTGGTGGTGTTTATGAATCGAAATTTTGAAAGAAAAAACTAACGAATGGATGAGTATTTACCTTTAATAGCTTCTTTTATACATTGAGTAATTGAGACCAACAGTTCATCGGGCTCTATTTCCACCGCACACTGATCAGGATAAATGAGCGGCGTCTGCAATTAATGATTAATCAACACAATTGAATGGAGAAAAATTATAGTAAATGTGTCCAAAAAAAAACTTAAAATAATGCGTAAAAAATCTGCCTCATTAATTTTTGAATCCATTAATTTAAAACTATTCAACTTGCATGTTGATCAAGTTTTCAATTGAATTTATAAACAGCAAATAAATCGTTTAGAAAATGATCAATCTGCTTACTTACTTTGGTAAAATTTGATCCGATGCATTGTTCATTTTTATCAATAATCTGACAACGCAATGTGGTAGTTCCAATATCAAGAGCAATTATGTATTTGCCAAGTTCCTCGGACATTTTCTTTTTAATCGCCTAATTTCTGAAAATATGTATAAAATAGTAACATAAAATTCCTATAGTTGCAACACGACAATGTTTTGAAATAATTCAAAGTTCATGGTGATATTTGCCGATACATGCGTACCTACGTAATATGTAGAGACAACCATGCCACGAGAAGCAGTTTAATTTCACTTAAATAATATGAAGCAAATGAGAAATGCCATTAAAAAATCGCAATTAAATAAATATCGAATGTTCCTCTGGCGCCCATAAATTTGATTAGAACTAAAAGTCTAATAAATCCCCTACTTGGACTTGATAAAATAGAAGACATTTATTGGCTTAAGCTGTTATACCTTTCACTTATTTACTCCTAGTTTTGCGTTTATAAACTTAGCCAATTAAACGAATTGAAAACAAAAATAAAAAACCACAGACATTTAAAAAGTTGAAAATAAAACCAGAAAAGTTTGGCGCAAAGAATGGAAAATTTGAATGCTTTTTATATAAAAGTAACACAAAATTTGCAAAATCTCTAAGAAAAAATCGATATGACGACAGTGAAGAGATCCTTCTTGTTGTACTATTCGAACTTAAAAACAGTTAAAATTTTTGTCGGGAGTTTAGACAAAAATTATTGATCAAGTCTAAAAATTCCCAAAAGATAAAATTAAATTTATGTATTACGTCTCATAGTGTACATAGTTTTATATTTCATTGCATTTCAACTTAATATTTTACCTACATGGTCATAAAACGATCTAAAGCTTTGGTGTCCCAGATTTTTTTCCACAAAATTTCCAGAAAATCGCAATTCATGGAAAAGGTGTTTTTCAAAAGAAAAATGAAACCATCGAATTTTGAAGGAAACTTTCAAAATTTGCGGTTTAAAAAACCAACTTATTGGTACCTAGTTGCATGCATATTTTGTCCTAAAAAATACACCCCTAAAACCTGCAACTTCATTGTTCTCTTGTTACTTTCATTTTTATTATTTTTTTACCCACCAGTGAACTATTCAAGTTACAGCTGGATTTGTCGATAAAATTCAGGTAAATGAGTTTCCTATTCCGTTAATGTGTAATATTCCCGTAATTCCCTAGAGCAGCAGATGAGTGAAAATAGATCGAGGTCAAAACGTCGCAGCTTTCCGACGCCGCCAGCCAAAAATCTGGACCAAATAGTTCGTTCCCGGCCACCAGAATGTCCCGGCTTCGTTGACATCTTCCTATCCGAAGAAGAACATTCGGAACCGATTGAAAAAATTGCCGACAGTCCAATCGTTGGTCTGAAAAGGTCAGTTTTATGATGTTTAAGTGAGACTAGTTTTCCGCACTAACAATTGCTGCGAAAAATCAATGACGAACGACGATTTGTGTAATCGCGTGACTAAGCGAACACTTGAATGAATGGAAATTCGCTTTTCAATATTGATTTTCTTTTGAAAATAGATGACATCGGTTTTGCATAAACTTTGCCACTTAACTTTTCAGAGCGAACGATTCCTAATCCGGAACCGGATTATTTTTGTCCTCGGATTGGTGAAAATATTTTCGGCTTTACATCGTTCAAATATATACTTATTTAATCTCTTCAAGACTCGATTTAAAATAAATTGTTATCATTAGTTTAAAAATTGAAAATAATGTCGCTCGGCTACTTGAGTGATCGTTCAGAACTCTCGCAGACAATATTTCAACTGCATGTTGTGCAAAAATGAAAAGTCCGAAATATCTTGGATGCACAAATCTGCCAATGATCAAGTTTTTGGTGTTCCAGTTCCAAGTTTAAAAAGTTCCTTAAATGTTTTATGAAACAGTGGTTTTTTTTCAAACTTTGATGACTTTGTGTACTTGATTATAATAATAGACGAACCTGTTAAATGTAAAAGTGGTCAGTATCAGTATCTAATTTGTTTTCAAATATTCCCTCGTTGGTCCCCGATCTGTCTAGACATTTTTTTTGTTCTAATTGATGTTAAATGTTTAATTTTTAGTTTAGGCACTGAATTTACAACCAGAATAGATGGTTTTGGAAATTGGTTAACAAAATCTAAAAAAATTGAGGGAAAATGTAAATTTATTTTTAATCACTTTTAATAATAATTGATTAGGAGTCAACTTATTATTATCACAATCTACACAAATTCAAAAATATTGAGCCTGAAATGCTAGAAAAGAGAAATAAAATTGTATTCAGTAATTCTGTAGATTCAGATTTTAAACGCTTAAAATACATATTTCACAGATATCTTGCAAATTCCTTCCTAGTACGAGGCTTGAATGTATCCAGCCTGTACATATAATTTATGTTTCTGTTATCTTATATTTATTGATATTTTATTTCAGCTTAAATAGATTAAAAAAATAATTTTAAATCCTCACGAAGTGATCGTTTACGCTGAATTATTAGATCGTTGATAACAGGAAATATTTATGGTATATCTAGCTAAACAATTGAAAAATTGAACTGAATTTATTATGACCCAGTTATCGATGTGGAACCCACTAAGGTTCATGTTACGTTAATAAACTTTTGGTGTGCCTTTTTCAATTATAAACGATTTTAAGCAAATTCTGTCCGTAATTTATATTAATTGTGTGCTAAAAACGTTGAGTGCGATTTAAGGAAGATTTTAGATCAGTTTGGGTCATTTTAGAGCACGAAAAGATTAAATACTTTCGGGTTAGTATTTTTTCATGTCATTCAAGAGCGATGATAGTATTTTCCTTTCTGGGAAACTTGGATATTTGGGACATGTGTGACAACCATGGAGGAATTTTACAAAAGTAAACAAGGCAAAACCAGCTGACTGATGTGTACCGTGTACATTTTAATCAGCACTCATGGTTTTTTTACGTTTCTATAGCTAACAGTCGCTAATTTTAGGTGTTCCACATAGGTAGCTATGTACGTATTTTTCTCAGTTTTCAAAACTAGTGGGTTTAAGTTAATATTCGCAGCAGATTCACAATATTCCAGTATTTGATGCTTACATTTTACTAAATTATTCAACAATAAGTTATATGGCAAACTAGCTTAGCAGTACATGCGGTGTAACTTTAAAACATACTGTAGTTCATAGAGCAGTTCTATTTATATAAGCAAACCAGCGAATTGAGGACATACCTTATTTCTGTCTGGATTGAGGATAATTACAAACTACCTCTTTACCTGTAGGACATTTAATATAACATTATATTACTAAAGATAGTCTGATTATGGGTAGCTACAGGACAGAGTTTATAAACATCAAACAACTGATGCAAACTAATTCTCTAATTAGCACTGTTGCCATACAGTTCCTCGATTGCCCAACTGTTTTTTGTCCGGCTGCTGGAGGAATAAAAAATCTTCGCGAAGACACCCACTGTTCCGAACCCTGGGTAGTGTTGAATTCTTACCAACTAAAAAAAACCTTTTTTCTACGAGTTTTAGAGAGTTATCCTTTAAAACTTATAGTCCTCTCTAATAATTTGTCAGCTCCCTTGTCAGGGCTTACATGTCCGTAGCATATTCATTGCGGTGTTTCCTACGATTGTCCCTTTTACTTTCATTTGTTTTCTTATGTCCTCATTTTTCACGAGTTTCAATCCAGATTTTCCCGCTGGTCTTCGTCAAAAATCAATTTCCACTGCTAATAAATTGTTCTTAAGTCTTTAATTTTGTTAATTGACACACCTCTTAGTGTGGTAGAAGAAATATGGTATCACGTATTTTTGTCTTTGTATCTGGTCTTGTGTTGTTTGCCGTAATATGGAGTTTAGTATCCCTAGCACTTGTTTTCCTTTAGTAATTCTGATCTTTATAGCTTCCTCAGTTCGTCCTGTCTTCGCCATTTTTATTCCGAGATCTATCTATTCATCATCCTTTCTTATTTTTTTATATTATAGGTCCAGACCATCTGCTGGTTCTTCCTCTATAGAGGTACTCAGATATTGGGTTTTGCTTAAAAATACCTCTAGTCTCCATTTTTTGTATTCTTCCATCAGCTTTCTGGAGATGTACTCTAGGTCTTCCTTGTCTTGAGCTGGTTGATACTGATGATGGCATGGATTTCATGGTCGAAGTAGATGCAGAAGACAAAAAGCGGACTTTGAACTAGGCATTGAGACATGGGTCCTAGTGAAAATATCGGGAAAATTAAATCTGAAGAAGATGAGAATAAATAGATTGTCCAATTTACTAGGGGCGATGAACTGGGCTTTCGAGTCCATTGCATAATGAAGTTACTTCAAACGCCATTATCAGTATCTTCCCGATTTCCATCACTCCTAAAAGTAGATATTTTTTTTTCAAAATTATTTTTTTCGGATGGCCTAATGTTCATATAAAATCTGATTTAATGTTGCGTTATAGTTTTTTTCTTTCTGTTTTTATTTAGTTCTAGAAGTGCTTTATAGCGAAATATATTACAAGAAAATTTGGGTAGGAAGAGCAAAAGCTGCTTAATATGATCTTGCCCCAGAAATATAATATTTCCGATCAGTGGCAAGATATGCCCCCATTCGTGTCTGCCCCCAATTTATAATTTTAATAGAACAAGCACTTCAGGATCACGGCAGTTGGAACTGGATCATCAGATCAATAATCAATTTGCTCCAATAGATTTTTTGTGCTCAAAGCTCTAAAAAAATCAGAGCAAAAAGCCAAGACTTCATATTAAAAATAAAATCCCTTTTATTCCAGGCCGTAAAATAATTCTCTAAGGTTTGCTAACCATTTGGCCAACCAACCATGGATCCCGAAGCATTCCTAGACATCGCCAATCAGGTGGTGAAACTCAAAATGTTTCCATACTTCGACATAGCACATTGTACGCTCTGTGCTCTCTCAGTTAGAGAGGATCTAGGAAGCGGTAGGATTCATTCTGTTTCAAAACTAGCAGAAGATTTTACAGCTTCTCATATTCTTAGGCTCGCAGACATTTTCCAGGAAGCACCCTCTATCCTGCTGGCTTTCCTATATGCTGGTTGTATTCGCTGGGGGGATGGTGGCAAACGGACTCTTGGCGGAACCCATCTTGGCACCTCTTAAAAATACACCTCAAGTCTTGGTTGCAACGGCTGTGTGGTACGTAGGTGCATAATATGAATAGTAATTAAAAATCGGCGTATTTTCTTACTCACAAGCTCCCCAAGTTATCGCAAAAAATAATGTAGATGTGTTTGTAGGTACGTGATTTTCTATACTCCTCTAGACGTCGGTTACAAACTAGCCAAATTCCTACCGGTAAAAATCGTGTTTTCGGCAATGAAGGAAATCTACAGATGCAAAAAGATCTACGACGGAGTGACACACGCAGCCAAACTATATCCTAACGCTTATTTGATCATGATCATTATTGGAACACTTAAAGGCAACGGAGCGGGTTTCACCCGACTGATGGAACGGCTTATGAGGGGCGTCTGGACGCCCACTGCCATGGAATTTATGCAGCCAACCTTGTAAGAACCTTTTCATTCCAGGCTAAACATATTTAATTCATAATCATATGTTTCAGCTACACCAAAGCGTCATTGGTTGCTTCCATTATCTTCATCTTAGACAAGAAAACTGAGTTGATTTCCGCCCCTCATGCTTTGGTATATTTCGGAATCGTCATATTCTTGGTCTACTTTAAATTATCTTCTATTATTCTGGGCATTCATGATCCCTTTATTCCGTTCGAAAACTTGATGTGTGCCCTATTTTTTGGAGGCATATGGGACAGTCTGGCTAAGATCTTTGGGAAAGGGCAAATCAAGGAGGGCGAGGTGAAAGACGTGAAAAAGACAAACTAAAGGTGATTATGAAGAACCGCAAGAAATAACAGCATTGGTTTTCATTCCTTGTGTTTTAGATAGCTGCAAATTGGGTGGTAGATTTGACGAGGTGCGGTTGTCCAATTTATCACCCCTGTGGTTTATCCGAGGCGCCAAAGTTACACGTTTTGTAATATTGTACTAAATTGTAAATATTTGAAAATATAAAGAACAAAACATGAATAATTAGAGCGATTTTTGTAGAGCCGTTGCATAAAAGAATCAGTTAAGCAAAATTGAAACAATGAGGATTAATTCACATGAGAAATATTCATACACAATCCCAAAGTCATTCATGAAATCATTCAATCGACATGGTTTGGATTACATTCTGGATTCACAGATTAATTTTCAAAAGTTCAAATAATTTCTGGAAAGTACCTACTTTACATAAAACTGAAATCGCCTGCTATTGAAAATATTTTTATTAAATAACAAGAACTGTTCTAGATTTAGAGCATTACACATCGGCTTGATGAATGGAAGTCATAGTAATATTTTTCAGTCTTTTCGTTAAATTTGTACGAATTTTAAGTCTTCCTCAAAAGCGGCTTTAAGAGAAATAATACTAACACATTGTCTCACTTCACTTAAACACCAAAACTAAAAAACGTCCAAGAGACAACAACAAACAAATACCTAAGTTCCAATCACACATAAATGCGTTTCAGTCCGTATTTAGCACTAAACACACTCCCTGCAGAACCCAATGGCTGATGTGTTCTGTTGTTCTCAAATCCGCCTCAAAAACCAAACCAACCCCCATAGCGTTTCTTCTTAGGGATGTTGTATATACGGGGGTTCGCAACGTGTTTTGAAGCTTGAGCCTGAATGATTCAATGGGCACCACTCCAAGTACGGGCAGTTTTTCAATCAGCACCTTCGGTGCTGATCTTTTGAGGCAGTTGTTCTCTACATCCCAAGCTGCACCTTCAAGATAGAGTCCGTGAACTAAGCAGTTACCCTAGAAGATTATTAAAATTATTTATTGCCTCAATTACAAGCTTCCAACAGGTCAAAATTAGGGCATCAGAAAATAGCGAACATCGTTTATGTACTTACTGCTGCAGGTCGCAAAATCACATCAGCTGGATCCACATACTCAGTAACAAAAGTATACAGGGTGGACCGATCCAACGGCCAGTTGTGCAAACGGCAGGCAATTTGAACTAATGCTGCGAGATAAGTTTCAGGAATATGCAGTCCAGAGATCCATAACACTGTAGGTTCTCCAGTAGTTGACTAAAAAGTGAATTTTATTAGGCAAAAATATCTGAGTCAGACGTATTGCGTACCCATGAAAAATACTGCTGCTGTCTAGCTTCAAAATGCTCCATCCATCCTCCCAAGTTCTTGCAAGTAGCTGGGGCCAGTTTTCTCCAGCTAGCCGGCAATTGGCCATTGAACAAAGAATAGGCCACATTATCCAGAACAGTGTCCATACCAATTTCACCGGCCAAAGCTTTCTTCAGTTGCACCAACGATCTTCTCATGGTGGCTATTAACTTGTTAAATCGCTCTAATTCTTGTAAGAGCACCACTATAGTAGGCGACATCATTCGCTGGAAGTAGCGTCGCACTTTCCATACTTCATATTCTTCAGGTATCTTCTTTAGGACATCGTTCGCCACTGCTTCAATAAACTCTTCTCTGCTGATACCTTTTTCTGAAGCAGCTAAGCATTAAATAGGTTTATTAATAAAAACGAAATTATGGAAACACTCGTAAATAAATCAACTTGTAAAATTCAAATTACTTTTACCAGTCAGTTACGAGAAAATTCTTAAAAATGACAAGTATAAATATTCATTAATATATCAACTTACAAACTTGAGGTTGCAGTTCAATCAGAATATTCCACATTTCCTTTGTGGCTTGAGTATAATACCCAATTTCCGCATTTGAATGCAGACCAAATATTTCAGGACTATTGGCTAGTGGAAGTTCGTCAATAAAAGCTAAAATGTAAGAGTGTTAACTCTTCGTCGTCCTCAAATCAAAAACTCCTTTGAATACCAATGTAGTCATCTTTGGTGCCTTCGGGTGGAATAATATAATCCACGGTGCTGTCTTGATAAAAGTGGAACGGTTGAAAAGTATCAAACAGAAAATCTCCCATGTATTCATCCATGTAAGTCTTCACAATTCTTCTATCAAAGTCATCAATCACCCGCCCGCCATACATAACTTCCCCAATTAGGTACTTCAAGCTATTCCAGGGAATTCTAGAATCTTTCGCTTTGTACGCTTTCGTCAGGTAGGTGTCCAGAATTTGAATGCACACATTGAAGTCGGACTCATTAAAGTCGTAGCAAATATTCCAGCCGATTTTGTCATATTTTCTGCGCTCTTGTACAACTGCGTGGAAAAAGGCCAGCACATACACCAATGACTTAAACGCCGGATGAGCGCAGGAATCCAACAGTTGCGCTCGCATCTTGAAAAAGGTATTGCGCAGATTCAGTTTCAATCCATTTGGAGGCTCGGTTACAACTTTCAGTGATCTGAAATTCCAGCATGTGTTTACTCCAATTTATCCGAATAGGATTTAAAAAAATAAACCTACCTCTGGAGGATTCCTATTGGGAATGTCGCCACTGGATCAGTGGTTAACCAAAGTCGAAAATCTGGATGCGGTTTACTAATTTTTTCTATATGCTTCTCCAACGACTTGATAAAAGATATGAGCAAATGGCAGTTCTGGAACATTAGCCACTGTCCTCTGGATATAGCGGTATCCAACAGCTGCAGAGCTGTGGGCTCTTGGCCTTGGCCCAAGGATAAGTAGCGAAATTTTCCGCCACCAAAGCCGCATCTAAGGTAAAATACAACTGGTTAAATCCCCATGCTTGTGTTAGATTAACTTCTTACCTATCTGCTAACTTCATCAGTTCTGCTGTAGGATCAGAGCCGGGGCTTAAAATGAACACCACAGGAGTAGTGGGGCTGCATTGCTCAAAGATATTGTCCATACTAATAACCGGGGGCATTATATACTCTTCTCCCATCACTTCCGTTATGTAGTCTCCAACTGCTCGATATACTCTGTCCACGCGAAAACACCTTAACAGTAAAAGTACTTGGAAAGGTTTCAGTCTCTCCTTGTAGCCGAAAGGAAAATCCATGGCTTCTGGAGCGTCCATATCATACCTAGGATTTAATAAAGATTGTGTGCACGCAGTCTTCAACTGAAGTTTATACGTGTATAATTATATCGGTTTAAAAGTAGGTACTGATCAATCTTACAGAAACTTTGTTTACTCAAGTTTTAGGACAAATTCAATTCGAAACAACACAATATTCTAAGCAAAGTAGAGGCAAACTGTGTTTGATAAGTTGTTTTTGGTCTTCTGAATATAGAAAAAACATCTGCGATTTAGCATTGAAGCTATAGATAAAACAGCAGGTCAGTCTGCTAAATTACATACCATTCCTGCCATAGTTCAACGTTTCTCTCAATCTGATTAGGCAAATTTTCGAACATTAGAGGGAAATCAGTGGAGAGTTTTAGAATGTTCTCCCATCCCTGGTTGCTCAACCAAGATGCCGGACGTTCTCTGCTCGACTTTTCCAAACTCACGCTACCCTAAAGAGACAAGTCACATAGTTAATTGCAATCCAGTTTGATAAATATATAAAAACGCAAAATTTTTGCTTCTGAATCGGGCAATCGTCACATATATCTGTTACCGTAACAAATAATATATTTATATGTAAAAAATATCAATAACAATCACCAAATAAAAAAATTCTATCTTCTTCTATGGCCTAAGTCCGTTGTACTTACTTTAATGAAGAAATCCAGCTCGGCTTGTGAAACAGCTCCAGTGCTCTGTTCCAATTTGACCGTCATTTGAAACGAAAATAAAAGTTTGTGTTTCTCAAATATGCCAGTGCATCCATAGTCGTACACATTCTTGGTCAGCATGTTGATGATATTGAACAATCGCCTATCTAAGACGGTGTGGGGTAACGCCTTTCTCAGCGAGTAAGCAAACACTTCCAAATATGAAGAAAGCGAGTATTGGTACATAGCATTAACCCCTGCCATGTCCGAAAGCACAAAGAATAAGATAGCTCCTCTTCTTGCCACAGGGCGGTACACGTCCCTGAGTTTATCAATGTCTTTTGATGTTTGTGCGGCCAAATCCAGCTTTTCCATCACTTCCGTCGCTTTGCTTTTGGTGTTTTCCAGCGTACTAACTAGCTCGACATTGTCCAGCATGTTCCCGGTAGTGGTAGATAGCTCCCGAAGCAGCGAATCTTCCAGAACTTGCAGAAGATTCTTATTTTCGCTCGTTTCGCTGATGAGCAGCTCTCGCTGCTCCTCCAAGTCGGGTCTTTCATTCTTAACCACCACACCCAAAAGCTGATCTTCCAACCCAGACAGTGTTACAGTATAATTGATTACTATTGCAGTTGCATACACTGAAGGGTTGAATATCGGATTAGCAAACTTAGTAGTCATGTAGAGTCTAAAGTTAGGATCCCAATCCACCTCCTTATCACCAAGGATGACGAACACACGCCCTCCGAGGATCTTCACATTTTTCTGTATGACATTTTCCACTACAGGATCGATGTAGTCATCAACATCCTGAAATAGCACCGGGGCTCCATATTTAATCGACATATCCAGGTGTTTTAAAAAGTCGTTGTCGCTGAAACTGAGCACCTTCATATTGTTTTTTTCTTCGCGTTTTTTCACCCAGTTCAAGGCCTGCTGCTGAGGATCAATGCAGAGAGGAAACCTGGAACCTCTTATGGTCAATATTCCGTTCTGAATGGACAATTCATCTGGGGGAAGCGATTCAGAGACCCATTGACTGACCTCAACATCAGTAGTCAAATGTGTCTCCAGCTTAAATGGTTGAGATGCAGGAATTTGCCTAGTTTGCACACTATCCTGCCAGTCGACATAGACCATATCTCGCCTAAACTCAAAAGTAAACGGACCGCAATACGCTAAAAATCCCGAGCAAAGCAAGCAATTCCCCACTAGTCTTTCTTTCTCTATATGGAGCTGATTCAGATCTTCGGTCCATCGAATTTTCTCCGAGCTTAATCCAGAAATCAGTTTGTCCGCCGCTTCCAAACGGCGCATCATGATATCCGTTTCCTCTTGCAGCTCTTGTCTGGTCTTCATTGCATTGGCATACTTCTGGTTGAGTTTATCCAGGTCTTCCTCCAATTTGCCAATTTCACTGTAGAGCTTCTCCAGGTTGCGTTTGGCAGTATTGTACTCATTTTCCAACTGCTCTACTCGCTCCTTTTTGGGTTTCACTTCTCGGTAGACCGCACAATACCCCAATACAGCTTGCACAAATTTGAGCAACCCAAAACCGGCCTTACTGATAGAAGACATCTCATCCAGCTTAGAGGATTTCTTCATATGTGCTTTGCAAGCTCTTTGCTGAGCTTGGGTGATAGCATCACAGTTCATTTCCTGCAGAGAACGCAGAAAATTGGCTTCCGCCATCATTCCCTTCGCAGACTTCCAGGAAACTTCCTTGTAGCCCCTTAGTATCACTATGCATTCGCATACAGTTTGCACTGGTTCGGGTGGAGTAGCAAAAGAGCGAATTTCCGTTATATCCGCCTTATCCAAATCTGCTAAAGCGAGCCTGGCAGTTTCAAGCGCTGGCAAAGCTGCGGACAGTGCTTCTTCAGCGTCTGCTTGTTCAATGCTAATTATTCTGGCTTGTTCTTCTATTTCCGTGCTTTTTAAAGAGGCGATATCTTTCTTTTCCGTAGCTACTTTGGTGCCAGCTTCAATTTCTCCCAACATTTCTTCGCATTCTGCAGTGGCTTTTCCAACAACAACTTTTTGCTTTTCCAGTTTGGCGTTTAAAATCGCTAGTTCTCCACTGGCTTCTTCGATTTTCAATAATCCGCTCTTCAGCCGGTCACATTGGGCGTTAATGTAATTTCCCTTTTCTTCCAAAAGCTTCAAGTAGGTAGTGATGAAATCCAGATAGTGCTTAGGAGTGACGTAGTTCTTTCGCCGCATTATTATCAAATAATTAGCGGTAAAGTCAATAACACTCTGATGGACATGAACAACGTGTTCTATAATAGTGTCTCGGTACTGCTCGGGAATGTTAACGTTTTCTTTAAGAAACACTGAAGCCACCGCAAACAGGGCTTGAAGAGGCCAGGGAAATATCCAGTCAATGGTGGAATTATTGACCAATCCTGGAAAATTCCTGCATCGCTTGCTCAGGACGTCGCTAGTAGGAGACATGGACAGCACTACATGTAAATTATCCACACAAGTGTTTATAAAATAATGCCAGACATTATCTTTCCCCACCCCATAGCCAGCCTTCACAGCTGCAGCCCTGCACTGTCCTATAATTTGCTCCTTGTCATCGTCGGTGAACAGCGAAGGCACATAGCCAATCATTAGAATATTGTTGATGAACTCCAGGAAGCCTTCTTCAACGACTTGAGCAGCTGTAAAGAAGAACACTGTCGGTTTTTTCTCGATCCCCAGTAGAGAGTAAAGCTTCTTTAAATCTTCTTTGAACATTGCCTCATTATATCCTCGGCAAAGAGTAATGGAAAATACTTCGCACCCTGCAGTAAACGCTGCCAGTTTGGTCAGACTTCCCTTTCCGCTGCCACCAACTCCCACTAACATTACATGTCCTCTTTCTAAGCGCAGCCCTCTATGGATCCTGGTCAAATGCTCCAAGGCATCGTTGAAAAGCACAATGCTTAACTTTTCCTTCTGCTCATTGTACAGCTCTATAATTTCTTGGAACAAAAAGTATATAGCGTCGTAATCAAGCAGGTCTTCATAGTCTCTCGGTTCGCCTTCATTGGTGGCGTTGCGATAATCTCCAAACAGCAATGGATCGCGCATGGTATATTCCACTACATCCACCTGCTCTTTTTCTTCGGCTTCGGCCTGAGGATCATCAGGGACGAAAACAAAGTCATCATCATCCACTTTGGGCTGTTCTTGTTTCAGCGGCTTGGGAAAGTATTTCTTTACTTGCTCTAGTAGCTCATTACGCACAAGCTTTTGGTCTTCAACGTTGATCAACCGATCACAAAATATTCTTACAAACTCGTTTCTCCACACCCGTACGATTTGGGGCAGGGTTTGAAAAAACTTTGGAGTGATTTTGCACAAACCGGCAGTAACCCGCGACAAATCGCGCATGTTAAAAATGTAATGAAACTTGCTTGGTGTTGGCGGTAATTGAACTATTAGGGTGTTGTAGAGGTTCAGAGTCATGGTCAGCAATGTATCTGCAATTTGAACTTCTTCGTCAAACGCCGATAAATGACCGGATAATATTGAAGAGTATATACGATGTAAAGTGGTGGTGGTGGGAAAAACCAAATTCATCACCGTAAACATGGAGATGAATCGCGGATCCACTTCGTTCCTGCCGCCTCCGGCTACTCCCATGGCAGCAAAGTAAGAAATATCCTTGAGCACCTTCCAATTCAAATCCTTCCCCCTATCGTACATCCCACCCTTTTCAAATAGAAGCTTCAGTAATGCAATGGGCTGCTGAGTGCCGTAGTCATCAACTTGAGGCATATTCATGTCGTCAATGAAGCAAATCAGTTTCTTCCCCATTGGAGGACCATATATCTCTTTTGTACGTTTTTCCACAGAAGATTCCAAGTTCATCTGAACATCCATTGACGAAGTCCGCGAAGAAAAATTGATATTCAACAGAATAAAGACATCAGAGTCCAAGCGACGAAGAAAATCTTGAATAATTGCAGTCTTCGATGTACCCGTTTCGCCCACTAGAACAATGGGTCTTTTGATTTGATTCATTAATTGCAGGATATACGTTACGCGAACTGTGTCCACGGTGGGAACTAGAATTTGCGAAAATCTTTGATCGGTGTCGTGGGTATATTCAGGAACCAGCCAATCCCAGGCCACCCAAACCTTCTCCTTCAAGTCCAAGAAATAGTCATAGAGCGTGGCACAGGCGGTTGGCATGTGAATTAAATCGCATTTTTTCTCTATTGTATCATTGGATGTAAGCATGGAAATCTGTGCCTTCATGTATTCATCAAATTCTAAGCGACAGGAATCAATTAGAGCAGCCCCAACAGAGTTATACAGGGACGTGGTGAATACTGCATTAATCAAATCAGTGTCCACCACTTCATCTGGAGGTCTCGTATCTTCAGCCGGCTGAGGATAAATGGCGTCTATCATGTGGCATAGCTGAGTAATCATGTTAAGGCCTGTTTGCGGAATGACCGTTTTCAAGGGAGAGACCTGCTTATTTCCCAATGTTCCTTCCATTACATATGCCATTAAATCGGGAACGATTTTATTATAGTATTCCGAAAAGGCCTCCCGTTCAGGCTCGTGTTTTCGTGAATTTACCCATCTATCCCAATAGGGTTGATAGCCCAGATTCTTCGGGTCCACGTAAACCATACCGGCGCGCGAGACCGTTGCAGGAGAAGCGTATTGCAAATCTCCAACTTCAAACAGCAACGCGCATACAGGGACTTGCAATCGAATTCGTTCTCCATTAGCCAAAGTTAGTAGCTTGTTATCATCCATAACGGAGTTCATATTTTCGATCCATAGCGCGTCAACGTCCCCATCAAATAAAATGTATCTTCTCTCGGGTTTTTCGGTGGGCTTGTTCATTTCTCTGAAAATATTTGATAGTAGCCCATCAGTCCAATCTCTAGTCAGAGGATCCAGAATTCCGTAGAGCTCTATCACTGAGCAGGCTTTAGGGTTTAGGGTGTTAATTTTCGTCGGCAGTCCCAGCAAGGTTTGGGCTTTGGATAAAACATTTATCACTACAGTTTTACCGCCTCCGGTCGGGCCCACCAACATTGTCGAATGCCTAGTCATCATAGTTTCATACATTTGAATAACCTTGTCTACCTGATAAGGCAAGACTATGTAACGGTCGTCGGCAAACACTTTTTCCACTGCAGCGTTAAAGTCTGGATAGCCCACCCTAGGACAGTCCATGCCCGGGAACAAGTCTCTGATCAAGCCCAAAAAGAGTGGCACATCTTCATAGACGAATTTCGGATGGTTCATGTCCCGTAAAGCTCTCATTAGAACTAGAGCTTCTTTGATATCAGGCGAAGCTCGCTTGAGCACTCCAGCCATTCGCAGGACCGCGTTCAAAGCTCTCAGCCCCCAATCGTAATGGAACTGTTTCGACAACTGTTCTCTGGCCAGTTTGTAGAGCACAGTCATTTTTTTAGCCAACACTTTGGCTTCAAGAAACCCGTCCGAAAACAGGGATATTAGGCAAATCATCTCCAAATCGGGAACGATGCACACAACCGGTCGAAATAACGCCTTGACTGATTCTGGAAGCTCAGTCCGTCCAGCGTAGCCGGGATTCATGGTAATGAAAATTCCAACTTTGGAGTCCAGAGCTATTTCCACGCCCTCGAAAGTGAACCGTTCCAGCTTCATCATCAAACCACTTCTGATGGTTTGAAGTTGAGTGCTGATGACCGAAAGAACCGAAATGTCGATTCTGTTGAACTCATCAAAGCAGCCCCAGGCACCACACTGCGCTAAGCCCGCAAGCGTGGTTCCAATGGCTTTGTAGTCCATTCCTTCCCCACAATTTGTGACAATGCACAACAGGGCCATAGCCTTTGCTAGATCCTTGGTAGTTTCAGTTTTTCCAGTACCTGCAGGACCGGCAGGCGCGCCGCCCATGTGCATGATCAAAGCTTGAGTGATTGTAAGATAAATCCGGTCAGTTAAGGGAGTGATAACCAAGCGACCATTCAAGCCCATGTATTCATAGCCGTACTCAAATGATCCAGTACACTGAGTGACCCAGAGGTTATCTAAATTATTCACCCAGTAGAAGCGAAGCTGGCTTTCCCATTCAAACTCCTGAGCATCCATCACGCTATCCCTGACAAAGCTTTCTACGATGTCTCTGGCATGGACTTCAATGATTGCAATCGTGCGAAATTTCGTTCTATCATTTGCTGTTAATTCAGCTCGTACTGTGAAAACAATTTCCTCCAACCCCGCATTCAATTGCTGCAAGTATTCCTTCATTGCTCTCTTGTTTCCTTTCTTGATTTTTGCAAAGACGTTCTCCACTTCAGCGGTCCACCAAACCTGACTGCCGGCCAGACAAATCATTCCCTGATACTCCAGCATCCACTGCGTACGAGGTCTGCGAATTTTACCGTAATAATAAATAGCGCTCTTGGTGATGAATCTATTGGATTTTCGCATCTCCTTCAACACGTCGTTCATCCAGTCTTCAACTTTTCCTTCTATCATGACCGGAGTGCGAAACTCCATCACTTCTCCTTCTCCAGAGACCATGGCTGAAGCAATCACTCTGTCGTTGTTGTCTGTTGAAAAGCGCAAGGATTTAATATTATCAAACATCTTAATCATGTGGTCTTGGACCACTGTGTATTCGCTGCTGCCTAAAATCGACAGCAGTTCTTCGGTTGAGACGAAATAGAACCGGGGGAATCTTCTTCGCTTGGAATCCAGGTAGTCGTTGAGGGATTTTTGGCACCGATCGAGTCCGGCTTCTAAGTTTTGAAACTCCTCTAGTCTTCCAGGCAGAGCGCAAACTTCAAGAACAATCGGCCTTTTGGCAGTTTCCAGCATGATTCTTCTGAAGGCTTTATCGATGTCGTCGAATTTTCGGGCTTCATCAGGCAGTTGGGCCCTGATGTCCCCGCCGACAAAAATTCCCTCCAAATACAACCACTTCCTTTGAACTGCCAGCCATTCGTCAATAACTTCCCCGATGTTTGCCAATGTTTTCTCCCATTTCTGAACCTGTGGCAGAAAAGGTCCTACGAACTGAGAGCCGGCCATGCTTTGAAGATTCATCGAATTGTCGTCAAGGACTTGCATTATGTCTTCAGTGGGTCCGATTATAAACCCGCGATCCTCACTTCCCTTCATATGCTTGATCACTACAAACGATATCGCCTTCCACGTTTCCGCAATTTCAGTGACTCCCCGCTCTATGGCGAGTTCCTTAATTGCGTTATTAATAATTTCCTCGGCCATATCCTGGAATCTATGCAATTCCATAGTGAACATGTTGTCCAGAGTAAATCGATCAGGCGCCATATCAAAAACAATGCCAGTCTTATCCATTAATTGGCGCCAATGGCGGTCTCTCAGAGCTTCGTTCTTAAGAGCCACCATCAAAGGCACCGAGTTACGAAATTGCTTCATTTTCAATTCCAAGGTTAATCCCACCGGCATCGATCGAATTTCCTTGGAAATTTTTCTGAACTCTTTTAAAAATCCGTCAATTCCATCCAGTAGAGCTTGGGGGTTCAGGTTTGCCCACAGAGTTTTACCCCACAACTCCCTGGCGTGTTTCTGCGCTTTGTACAACTTATATATCACATCCATGCCTTGGAAATCTGTCCTGGCTTTAATAAAATCCGAGTAGTCTGCAAGAGGGATGTCAAAAAGCATCTCGGCATTAACTAGATCTATTCTTCGAGTTTCCAAATTGTCAAACTCAATTTTGTATTCATCCATTAGTTTTATGCCGGCATCCAGATCCTCACCTACTGATCCAGGGCCTTGGCTCATAAACCGTTCCAGGAACTCTTTTAGAACATCGATAAAGCTGTTGATTTCACTCAGAGTAAGCAGAGCAAACCGTTCCTTGGTAGATTCGAGAGTCTGCTCTCGATACAGCCCAGAGAGAAGGAGCGACTGCCAGTCTTTTTCCAGCTGAAAGGCCAGAGCTTCATGCTCGGGATCAAATTTAATATCATGTTGTCTGAGCATAGAGTAGATTTCCTGATACTTCTTGTAATCGAGCTCAGCTTGTATGTTGTTCTTTCTTATAGTGGCGATCGCTTGCATTATAGCTTTAAACCGCTCAAGGCCTTTGATGTTCTGCCTCACTGTAGCATGGAGAGTTTCAATGGTTGCTTTCATTTCGACCATCTTGTTCATGGTATCGCTGTCCAATAGCCTTCCCAAAGTATCCTTCCATTCGATGCAATGCTGAGCGATAATGTTCAATAACGGGCGTAAATGTAAGCGGACAGAGTCTATATCCACGTAATCCCGATAGTTCACCATGCTTTGGGCGATATCTTGGTAAAACATGAACTTGTCATCATATGTCTCTAAGGTCACCATGCTCGACATGAACCTTTCGCAGGTGGATTCCTTCTCGAAAGACCACAACATTTTGTACCTCTTCCACCTTTGGAGGTTCTTGTGCACGTTAATGATGGACTTATGGGAGACATCCTGAAGCTTCTGTACAGCATCGCCTATATCCGGAACCTTCATGACTTCATCGTGGAACGAGTATAAGAACTCTTCCTGCTTCTCTCTCTGGATGGGTTTGCACAATATGCAAGTTTCATGCATCCACCGAGGAAACAGCCGGAGCCTATCAAAGAAATCGTGAGAGTTTCTTATAATAATGTTGTATATTTCTGTGGCTGTCGGTCTTAGAAGAATTTCGGGTGTTACCACCAACGCATCCACTTGGAACAACAACTCCTTATTTTCAAATTTCGAAGCAAACGTTTCCATATTTTTAATGGTCATGGTTGTAAGAGCTCGATAAATTTCAGTCTCCCAAAACGTATAGTAACTGTACATTTCGGGGGAATTTCCCGTGTTCGTATTCAAAACGAGATATTCCAACTTAATCATTATCGGCCCAAACGACTCATACACCTTCAAAAGATTGGCTACAGCTTCAGTTCTGGCATTGTACATCGTATTGAAAAACTCCTTGCAGGGCAGTCTCATCGGGTTAACTTTAACTGGCACAAAGTCGAAGAGATTCGCCGATTGCAGGGTTCTTAGTCGTCTGTACAAATCCTTTTCAATGTGCTCGATATGTTCAAATAAAGTCTTCAGCGCTGTTATAAGACCTTCGCAGTCTGCTGCGTATTCAGAGATGCTCAACGAGGACCATTTTATGCGGGATAGACCCTGTTGAACGTAGAGCTCCACATCTTGCAGTTTTCCTTTTAGTAGTATAATCTGAGAAAGAAAGAAATGATCCAACAAGTTGCAAAGTTGGAGACAGTGATATGATGGGTTCAAGATAATGACCACCAATATGCACATAGAGAAATTAATTTCTGCTAGCACTGTAATGATTCTTAATGGTACCGAATAATTACCCTAAATAAGGAAGATTTCAGCTACCAACATTACAGTTTAATAAGATAATGAATACAACTGAACGTGAGCGGGGCGCTTGTAATTATTAAAAAGTCGATTATTTTTAGGAACAATGTTAAGCTATTGTGAGGGAAAGTTTAGGAGAAACTTAGTCGTCTATATGTGTGTGTGTATAATCTACAATAGGTTGGAAAAGCTTTCTAATAGACTCGCAAAAATTTTCCCCATTCGTCTAGGGCCGTATAACTGATTATTATCAATCTATATCTTCTGCATTTACTTGAACATTTTGAACTTTTCAATTGATTATACGCGTCTGGCTTACCTGCGGCGGTGTTAACTTCTCTATGATATCATTATACTTCTTTAACATTCTAATTACTGCATTGACGTTTTTCGAGCACTTTTCCTTGCGCATTGCAATCAGTCGGAGATTTTCCGGCAAAGAAAACTTTAACAGCTCAAACATCTCAATGCACTTGAAACATTTCCATAGGGATTCGTCAAAGTTTAATTCAAATTTCAGACCAAAGTCGATCATTATATTTGAGCCCATAATTTCATGCCAGGTCAAGTTTTTTTGAGACTGGATTCGATCCATCAAGGTGTGGGCTGAATGGCTCAGCATGGATGATCTCATGGGCATCTTACCACCTACAAGGTGTTTGATTTGGATTATTTTCCTTCCATTCTCCAGATGGAAAGCAATAAAGCCTACATTTATGTGCTCAACATAATCAGCCGTTCACAAATAAATTTCGTCACTATTCCTGTTTATTTAATAGAAAAAACTTCATACTTACTTTTCACTGGTATCAGGCTTTTGCCTCCACTGAGAATCGATCCTATTTTGATTTGAGAACTGTTAACGCGCGTAACTGATCCTTTATGTGGCTTAAAAAATGCTTTTTTCCTAGGTGAGTCACATATTTTCAAAATATCGTACTGCATAACTTTCTCCAACACTGGACCATAGGTATCCAACCATTCTTCCAGTTTCACTAAAGACGCAAAAAATGTTCAGTGGCAAAATTAAATCTTAGGCATAATTCTTAGATATTCAGGGTGATCTTAAAGGAGGGCTATGTTCAGGCTATAAATAGGGTTTGGAGCTATTTTTTTACGGGAAATTAATTTTTGCATAGAAGGCAATTAGAAAAAAGAATGTATCCAAGTCTTGTTAAGATCAGAAGATCAATTGATCACTCAGTCAATGTCTAAGAGTTAATTTTATTCAAACAAATTATTAGTGTGCAAGTATTAACACCTGAATTGCAATTACATGATTTTTTCCCATTTTTATCTATAATTTACCGTAAACCTGTATCTTTTTGCGGTATAGTCTTAAACATTGACCTGTTTCGTGTCTTTCGAACACTTGTTCTCATAATCTCTAAATGCTCGAGAATGGTGTTAATATGAAATCGGTACTTTAACTTCGTTTTCAACTACAGCCTCAATAACTTTTTTTAAAGTATGACGTCAAATTTGAATTTTCTTGCATTTGTACTAGTAAAATACCTTCTTCATAGCTACGCAATTCTTTGGCCAACTTCAAATACGAGTTGAAAGCTTCTTCTCTCAGCATCGAGTTCATAAGCTCAGGAACATTTTGAAATTTCAAAATGGGCCTCTTTAATTTGTAAAACAGCAAACGTACCCAGTATATTGCCCCGCCATTAGGAGGCATGTCTTTGTTGAGTATCGGATGCCGTTTGTTTCTCTACAGATATAAACCAGCAATTTTAAGCAACTTTTTCAACATTTTCGACCTAATTTCAATACTTACCGTGAAATTATCGTCTACAATCAATATCTCTCGAGTATACTGATCCAATATCACATCGAACTTCTGCATCAGTTTATTCTGAATTACTTCCCGAGTTTCTATGTGTTTGAATTTCAGCATCATTTCCAAAGCAGCCTCTGAAGACCTATGAAATTGGTCGTTAATGGCAAACTGTTTTAGTATGGGATTGATTGATATTAATACCTGATCATTTTAAAACTCTGATCTATAAAGCTAACGGCTTCAACCTCCAGCTTTCGCACTTCTCTCTCATAGTTAATGAGGACAGCGTCCCAATTTTCTTTGCTATTTTGGTCAAAAATATCAAAGTCGATACTTTCAATGTGTACAGCCAATTTGTCCACTCTCTTGGCCACATTGTCTATCGTCTGAGGATCGCTCACTATAGCCCTCAGCTCAGGCCCGAATATGTTTTTAAAGTGGCTTACAGTCTAATGGAAAAATTGATGTTTAATTAAAATTTAGAGAATTTTAATCGCAAAAAACAAGGAGCGTTTTATAAATTTTAAGAGATATTATAATATAAATATAATTCTAAGCGACACTAAGAGCATGGCTAAGTTATAAAAACCGGGACGCTCTTGAAGATATTTTGAAATTTGCGACTATTGAAAACGCCAACTTAAAGATTATTAGAGAAATGTGATTTAAACTTTTCATTATGGAAAAATCTTCAAATAATATACCTTTTACCTGAACTTAATAAATGAAAAAGCGAAATTCGACTACTTTAGTTTCGGGCGTATAAAATCTAATAAAGTGTTTATTTCTGGATTGATGTCTTACCATGGCAAATTTGTAAATATCCCTACAAACTTTGGCCATATAGTCAGAGGATGCAAAGAGCTTGCTCTTATCGAACTCCCATCGCTGTCCTTTTCCAGAGTCTTCAATTTTCTGCCTGGTAATCATATACGAAGACTTCCAAGTATCCAGCATATCTGCCGCGTCTAGTGTGATCCTTTTCACTTCCGCGATCGGTTTTCTGAAGAGATACAATATGAGGGGTTTAGTAGTTGTACAACTTCAACTGATTTTTAAAGAGAAATGCGAAAATCTTCAAGCTAAACTTCAAGTTACTCAGATTTTTTTGTATTTACTTGTAGCATATTTACCTAAATATTACATTGCTGTCTAAAACTTTCCGAACTTTTTCCAGTAGACACCAAACAATGCGTTCCATGAACGGTACCATCACTTCGTCTGTGTTATAGTATCTCGACAGAACCCATATTAGGTGCAAACCCTCGATCAGATCCGGAATACAGTCGCGAACTTTACGAAAGTCGTAGCTTTCGCTTACCACCTAAATGGCATCAATTCGCATTAATTATACCTACTTTACGGTTGGATCTTCACCTTAAGATGCCTCTTAATAGTCGACAGGAACTTGACATTGTCTCTGGCTTCTGCATAGTATCTTTTAAGGTCCAGTTGATAATGAATAAATGCGTCAATAACAGACGACTTTGCCAAGTCGAGTAGCTCGGAGATGTGGACGAGAGTTGGCTTCTTGAGCTGTTCCACTATGGAACTAAAGGCAGCTTCTCTCTCGTGCCAGTACTCGAACTCTGGAAGCGGCCCATTGCCCACAGGAGTCTTAAAGAGAAGTTTATTGTATGAAATGTATCAATACAACAATTCACTTCTTCAGCGTAGGGCTGGCACTACTGGAAAAAATGGGTAATATTGACTTACCTTAGCCAGATAACTATCAATTACTTTAACAATGTGTCTTTCCCAGCCCATTACGGCATCTTCGAGAGTATCAATAACTTTCGGATCCCTAATCAACTCCTCGGTTGGTCGATCGGATTTAAGAATATCCGATAAATCGGTCATCGGTAGGTCGATATCATCTTCAATGTGCTCGCAAACCCTTTAAAACCGCGCTTACTCAAGCCCTACTCAGCGCTTCTCGCTTAAGTGCTTACCATTGAAGAGTCGTCCCAAAACCGGCAATTTCATTGAGCAATTCATCTTTAAGCGGTGTATTAGACTTCGAATGGTCTCCCTCCGCTTGGTCCAGCTCCTTACTAATGGATTTACCCACAGCGAAGGGCTGCATTTGATGTTTAGCTTCTTTCACCACTTTCATGGACATTCGCCGATAATCGCCTTTATCGTGCACATCCGTATGCGAGGAAATTGATGCTTTCATGTTCAACTTAGATCTTTTTGAAGCAACAGTTTCGGAAAAAGTTGTTTTGAAAAGTGGCAGAAACAACTGGAAAGGGCAGATTAAGCTACTTATGAATACAACAAACTAACTAGATTCATTCGTTTTGAATCCTAATGACCGAAGTTGGAAGCAATACTGACCTGTTGTGTTAAAAACGAAACACTTTGGATAAAATTGCCATTGACCACGCCTATGCTAATATAGAGTGGCATTTCAATATTGGCGTCATCCATTGCTTCGAAATTGGGAATTCCAAGTTCAGTTCGTCTAAAGAAGTAGACGAATCTGGTATCTGTATTGACTACACCTTCAGAAATCCAGTCAAAACCACCCGTTAACGTATAGTCAACGACTAATTCTTGGGTAATTTTCTACAATGATTACTAGATATGAAGAACCGTTAACGCAATTGGAAGGTACAACTTACAGGCACGTAAATGACTTCGTCTTCTTCAACTTTCACCTCTTCTGCAGGTTTTTCTTCAGACTCTAAAACAAAGGGAAAGTTAAGCGTTGTGGGATAACTACTGAATCAAAGTTTACCTTCCACTTGCTTCTTCTTGCCTTTTTGTTTGCCTTTTTTCTTTTTCTTTTTTTTATCTTTGCCACCTAAAATTGAAATTTCAGAGTCACAATGTACGTTAATCTTACATTTTGAGTTAAACTGCATTTTTATCTAATTTACTCATTAATTGTCTTTTAAATGAAAAAAATTGTTTTTCATTAACAGTGAGAGTTCCGACTTGATAAATATATTTTTAAATATACCGGTTTCTTCAAAATCAGACACTTCAACATCAGTAACTTCTGCAGATGGAAGTGTTGAAGCTTCGGTTTCGGTTAAATCGGTTTCTAATCCAGCTTCAACTGCATTTGCTGTATCCGGTTTAGCCGCATCTTGTTCAGCATTGTCGGTGCCAGGATCAGGATTTTCTGGTGCTTCGTTTGACTGAGTTTCGGTCTCTTTGAAGAAAAAGTTGATTATACGGTTAATTTGAACTCTATTCAAAATTACCTGTAGGTTGGGCTGTATCTGTTGTAGGAGAAGCAGCACGTGAGCGTTTTCCTTTTTTCTCGCCTTTCTTCAATTTTTCTTTGCCGCCTTTTCTTTTCTTAGGCTTTTCTGTCATTTGCGGGATTATTTCTTGGGGGGGCTCTTTTCTTACTACAAATATAATATGTATTTTCGCCGAAAGTAAATAAAGTCAGTATAATTATGCGAATATTTATAAAACTGTAATTACAGAGTGCATGTTTTCCTATATCCTGAAATTCTACAAATAAGAGTAGGTAATTCGCTTTTAAAAGTAGCTAGGTGTACAGTATTAAATAGGTATTTTTAAGTGAAACTCTTGAAAATAGAGCTTTTTTGAGTAGAAAGTAAAGCAAGAAAAAAATTCGGTCAAACATAAAAAACCACAGCTTTTTAACAATGAGAAATTGCAATTTGCAATTTCGAAGCTGGAAACGGATTTCAAAACTTTTTACAAAGCTACGAAGGAGTCGAGTGATCTCTAGTAAAATTTATTTTATAATTTTTTGCAGAAAATACCTTAAGATTGTCAGTATTTTAATACTGAAAAATAAATCTGAAAACAACTAAAAACAACGCCGACAAGTGAGTAACTCATCACAAAAAATTGTTTCGGTTTAGTATCAACTACCATTTTATTATAATTGGTTTTATAACAATATACATATTGATGGAAGAAAGTCGATAAAAATCAATTCAATTTTAGAAATGCTTGGCGGGCCGCATTAACATGGGCGGCAAGCGGCTCGCGGGCCGCGTGTTGCTCATCCAATAAAGAGCCAAATCTTAAATTTAGTGATAAAAAGACAAAAAAACCCTTGCGCTTGAAGGAAAAGAAAAGCATCTTGTTGCCATTAAATTATTTTCGATGCCTCATGCACGACATTCTGCTGTTGAAACGACTAAAAGAACAGGCCACTGAACATTTGAAGAAGAATATCAAACAACCTAAAATAGATCATTTTTGGTAAAAAAATATTTGTTTGTTGTTTTCATTAGTAGTAGCAATAGCAATTAATGGATGTGATGATGTAAATGGAAAACAATATTTTTATTTTCACTAATTCGAATATCGCGATAATCGAATGCGTCGCGAACTCAACCCTTTTGAGATTAGAAAATGTCTACTGCACTTGTTTCAATCGGTTACTGATTTTGCCTGTGGTACACCCACAGGCAAATTCTTATTATATTTATTGGATAAATTGTTTCAATTGATTCTTTTTTTTAAATACCTTGAAATGGTTCACTTTAACTGCGTTTTTTTTTAAATTCTAACTGTAGCAACAGAATTTTAAGCCACCAAGCATATTTCATGAACATCAGATTTACCGCAAAAATACCTACATATGAATAAATTTATAATAACGTTTTTAAAATGTTAAATAAAGTGAAATAGGCAGGTAATTTTGGATCCAAATACGCAACATCGAATACTAGTTATATTGACATGGTAACCAAGAGAGCGGCTTTTAAACAATTTACGAAAAGCGTTTTAAAAAAGTTGTTTAAAAAGACATTTATAAAATAAGCTCAACTACATAAACAGGTAAAAGATCTTAATAATTTAGCAGAATCAGCAGTTAGGTAAAAGCGAAAATTACCGATTTCAGGGACCAAAATTTCTTTCTCCACCAATTTTTCGAAAGAGGTTCTAAACACGTAGAAGAACCGGTTGCTCGTGTTACTCAGCTCCTGGTCTAGCAGATCGTCTTCGAGGTAAGAAGACAGCTTGTCCTCAAGTTCGTCGGCGCTGGTCATCATGTTCTCGAAGTAATCGCCGGAACTAAGCCCGAACACTTTCGTGATGGTGTTTTTAACCCATTCCCTCCGAAAGTCGGTCGACATTTATTATTTTATGTTTAATTAAACCGATTAAAACGAAAAAACTTCCATTATTTAACAACTAAAAAAAATGAAAGTTTATTTACTGATTATCGGTGTCGCTGAGACGACCCACAAACAGCTGCATATGCGGTACACAACAGTTGCTACGGTAGTTTGATCGTTTTATTGGGATGTTTGGGAACTTGGAAGGAAAATAGTTATACTCAAAACAAAAAACGAAAATTTTTATGGGAAACACAATTTTATTCGCTCAAAAGTACATGCTAACGCAGGTTTAACTGAATACACTTTTTGGCCTTGATCAGCCACAACGATATGCAATTCGTGCGGTTCATGGAACAGATTGAGAAATGTTTTCACAGGGCCTTTAAATCAGACGTATTAGTAATTATTAAAGACGGTAACTTCTCAGGTCATGTTTTGTTTCCTGACTTTGGCGAATGCGCAAACTTCACTTGTTTCAATCCGTTTTCAGCAGAATTTCGATAAATTTTACCTAGCTGAACCCTGAAGATTAAGATTCTTCTTATCTTTTCTAACAAAAGGCCTTCAGAGAAATGCATCAGCGCCAATTTTGAATAACGCTGTGCTTTAACCTATGGCTTTATCATTTTACTGGACAATGTGAGATGATATCAATATATCATACAAGCCTATAACGGATACAAGTATATTCTCCATAAAACACCTATTAATTCGGTTTACAGCGTTTTTATCTTATTTCTACCTATCATTTAATTCCTACTTTAATAGTATCGTATATATCATTCCGCCGCTGACTGAAAATTGGTATTTGTTGTCGTACTTTATCACATTCAGTTAGGTCAAGATCAACATTCACAATCTCTTCCCCTTCTTTGGCTTGTCCAATAACTTTGCCCCATGGGTTTGTGATTTGAGAGTGTCCCCAAGCAATATAGCCCTGCGTGCCTCTGGCCGGGCTAATGGCCAGGACAAACACTTGGTTATCTATAGCTCTGCCTCTTTGCAGCAACTCGAAGTGCAGAGGGCCTGTGGTCAAATTGAAGGCTGCCGGATATATTAGAATTTCCACTCCCTGCAATCGGTAGAGCTTTGCTAGTTCCTCAAACCGCAAGTCGTAGCAAATTCCCAGGCCTATTTTGGTACCTTCTAGATCGAAGGTAGCTAAGCTGTTTCCAGCAGCTAACACATCGGATTCTTTGAAAGTTATCCCTCCAGGAATATCTATGTCGAATAAATGCATTTTGCGATACTTGGCTATGAGCTTTCCTTCGGGGTTCCACACAGTGCAGGTATTGTAGTATTTGCTATTTTCTATTTCAGGAAACGTGCCTCCAACTAAGTAAACGTTGTTGTCTTTAGCAGCCTTGGAGAGCATTTCGGAAGTGGGTCCATTTGGAATCGATTCGGCGTATTCATTGAAAAACTTAGTGCCGTACGGTGAATTAAAACACTCGGGCAGCGAAATCAGCTGTGCCCCTAAAGTCTTCGCTTGGCTGATGAGTTTTCGGGCATTTTCCAAATTTTCGGAACGATTGGCCCCTACTCGCGACTGGATTAGGGCTGTCCGGATAGTTCGCATTACTGACTGCATTGAAGCAACTAATACAACAAAAATAAAGATAAAGAGTACATGATATAGAGAAAAAGTGGGAAAATAATTATTATCTTTTAAAAGTAAACATGCGATGGTATTTTTGGGGTTAGAGGTCAAAATTTTATGGTCGGGTTGCCGTCTACCAGTACGAAAGCAGTAACAGAAACTGATATTTAATTTTTGTTAAACTCACAAGCAGAATTTGAGCTGAGAAATGACCATAATAGTTAGTGACTCATTTTTATGTATTTTATAAATTGATGGCATCTATGTAGTGTGCAAATTTATGAATGATTTGCTAATTATCTCTTAAAATTTCTAGTAGAAGTCGGGTGCAGAAAATCAGCGTTGCCAAAAACTTCTAATTCAGATCAACTTTTCGTATAGCTTTCCCAGTCGCACTACGGTGTTAAACAGAGTAAGAGTACGTTTTGTTGATCCTAAATGTCAAAGTCGATTAAGATGTTTGTTATTCTTGTCAAAAACACCTCCATTGGCATATGATTGGCATCCAACCCAGTGTTTTGTTTTTAAACTATAAATATCGTACGATATTACTGATTTTAGCTTCTAGAAAGCTTCGAATTGGTCGAATTTTCTCGATATGTTATCAATATTTTCGAAAACAGTTTGAGTTTATCTTTAAATCGACAAGGGTGACGTTTTATAGTCCTCAAAAGACACGTATGTTCCACTTAGCTGGCCTATTTGTATTTGTAATGTTTATCTGAATCGGTTGTGAAAATGCGGCATAAAGTGTTGGTTATCGTTTTTTTTACGCTTGTGTGTTGTGAATTCTCTGAAGAAGTAGCCCAGGGACCTCCTGATTCAAGCAAGAAAACCAGCGACAAAGATGATACGTCTGAAGCACAAAGTGATGAAGAAATCATCACTTTTGATGAGAGTGATGTTATTAAAGTGAATACTGGCCAGCGTCGACAGTCTTTGAACAATTTAGAGTCGGTTGAAACAACTTCCAACAATGAAAACTTAAAGGGTAAGTAATCGGACTGTTTTGTCAGGTTTTGATTTCAAATATATTCGTACTACATTAAATACCACACTGAGTTTTTGCAACGCTAATATCCTGTGTGCTTGTTTTTGTATATGTACTTAAATAGTTAGCATTTCCCTAAAGTAAATAATATTGCTAGCTTAATCAGTGGTTGAACTAGCAGTGTTCCATATAAAGTAATCGCAGCCCTTATTTATTTGAATTCTAGCACTGATGATTCTATAGCTTGAAAAGCTTCAATAAGTCAATTGAATTTTACTTTTAACTGATTCAAAATTGCTTTTGGCTAACTGCAGCTCAATTAAATGGAAATTTTTTCTATTGAGATGAATTGCTTTTCTGCTGGCATGTTTAGTGTCTTCTTTGCCTTTCTAATTTAAATCATTGCATATTCACAACCCCGAATGGTATAATACTCACTCTCCATAAAATTTCAGACAAATGCCTACATAAATGACATAAGCAAATTATACTTACAAACTTATCTGGGACTGAATAAATCATCAGAGCGAACCTGGATGTACTAACTTTCAATGTGGATTTATTAACTTCAAATCTTTCATAAACTGCAATATTCAAGTTTTTCACTGAGAAGTCTCAAATCACTTTGCTCTTCTATATTAAACTGCGACATATTGGGGGTGGAATAGTTTGTGTTTTTAGCGCCTATTTTCAATCTAATATGGGCAATGAGTTATTGTAGTAAAGTAAGTAAAAGCTAGAAAAATTTTATCTCTATAGGCAATTAAAAAATATATGTTCTTTAAATAGCTACTGAAAAACGCTTTAAAGATATACAAATGCAAATATGTGGTCTGTTTTCATTGCACTTTTCAAGTTTCAAATTGTACAATATTCTTCTATATTAATTAAACAGTATTATTCTATCACAAGTTTTAAAGTCATAATTATGAACATGATGGACACGTTAATACTTTTAATGATAATGTAGAATTGTGTATCAAAGATAAGCAAAAATATTTATAGTCATCAGGATGATGATAAAAGTAAGCTTGTTTACAGCATATTGTAAGCATTTAGTTAAGCGAAGTTCATGTGTCCTTTTTATGCATTGAAAATGAATACTGTTTTTACTGCTACTTAATGGCATTAGAATACAGCATAATTAGGGTGAATTTTAGCTCTGAGTGTCTAGTATAGTTAAAACTAATTTTACAATGAGGACCTGTTTAAAACTGCATAAAACGGGTCATCCTGTATATTCAGTATGAGGTGTTATTGATTGTCTTCTGTCCATAGGAAATAATATGTGTGTTTTTTGGCTGACAGATGCATTTTTATTTTGGTATATTAATATTCAAGCATTTTCTGCATATAGTTGCCTGAAAACGCTAATGTTACTAATGTTTTTATAGATTGATTCACTGTACACATTTCTGCATCAGTTGCTTTTGGTATAATGCATTTGTTTAAAGCCATTGACGCTTTGGTGTGTTCTAATCAAACTACTGGACTGATAGTTCCATTACTAAACTATGGGAAAATATCAATATGGCATTTATTGTATTTAATTGTTGTTTATTGTTTCTTCTATTAGACAGTGATTCGCTAACACTTTTAGACCTGTTGGAATCCACAGACATGAAAATTATCATTCTTGATCAGGCCAAAGTTCTCGAGAGAATGACAAAAGATGTTGAACTGCACGGGGAAGCACAAAGAGAGATTGATGTTGAGGAAGATTTGCCGCTTCCTGAGTCCGCCTTGGTGGTCAAAGAACTGACACCCGAAGAAGAAGAAGGCAAAAAAATATATGAATCAGCTGCAGGTATCTAACGTTCTATCGATCATTGGTATTTTGCTAAGATGATCGTTATCAGAGCACACTTACTTAAGTAACTTCGGGTGGAAACTGTTTTTGAAGAAACAATTTAAATAAGGGATGTATTTAAAAGAAGATGTAGATATGAATTCAAACTTATTTGCTTAAATGTCGTAGATAGTGTTCGAAAAACTGAGTATAAATACTTGATTTTCAGCTTTGCTAAACAAGACACGTCCGGACAAACCGAAGATCTACCAGATGCTGGTAGAAGCATCCAACAAAGGTAACTTGGAGGCGAAAGCTTTAGTAGCGTGGGCTAAACTGTTTGGAACAACTTTAAAGCAAGAAATCGAGGTGGCCAAGCAGATGTTTCAAGAACTAGCTGAGGACGGCAACCCCGATGGGCATATGGGCATGGGTAGGCGCGAAATCAGTTTAAATAAATTCATATTGAATGGGATTTTATAGGATTTTTGTATGCATCTGGTCTCTCAGTCAATGCGAGCCAGGCGAAGGCTCTGGTTCATTACATGTTTGGAGCCATCGGAGGCAATACGTGGGCGCAAATGGCCATGGGTTACAGATACTTTGCTGGTGCCAGTGTTTCCCCCTTTTGCGAGAAATCGCTGAACTTTTATAGGCAGGTGGCAGAGAAAGGTAAATTAATATATGAATATGTGGATGTGCCAAATTGAATTATATTCTGTTTAGTTAGTCAAGGTGTCTCGTTCAGTGGGGGTGCGGCTATTCAAAGAATCAGGCTATTGGATGACTTAGAAAATGGATATACTTCGGGCATTCTGGACAATGACCTGTTTGAGTATTATCAGCTGTTAGCGGAAAAGGGAGATGTCCAAGCCCAGGTACAAGTTGATAAATAACATTATTCAGAACGATTTTTACCTGGTCAAAGTTCATTCACAGGTTGGACTAGGCCAGTTACACTATCAGGGAGGTAGAGGTGTTGATTTGGACTATCAGAAAGCGATGCATTATTTCACTCAAGCTGCAGATGCTGGAAACGCCATGGCTATGGCTTACTTAGGCAAGGTAAAAAAAATGTTCTTGTTATAAGAAAGTGCTAAAACCGTACTGGTTTGGTTAGTTTAGTTGTTCGACATAACTGTATGGGATTAATAAGTTTTGTAAGCATTTTGCTATTGCTGCAAAAATTATTACATGGTGGTTTTTTGAATAGAAAAAATTACTATTCTTGGGCATCAGACAAAGTTGGTTTTTTTTGTCTGTTGGTTAATAAAAGAATAACTTGTTCGGTCAAATAGCGGCAAAAAAACACTATACACTTAGCTATATTTTTAGCTATCTTCAGGGCTCTAAAAAGGAAACACAGGGACCTCACTTATAAGTATAAAATGTTTTCTTTATTAATACAAAATTACTGTTAAACAATCATGTGTTTGCCCTTTGTCTCTCATGTTTTATTTTCCTTTTGTAAAAATATTTTTGCAATAAAACATCCACTTAAAGAGAGCACATTTTAGATTTACCTTGATGGCAGCGACGATGTAGCAGCAAATAACGATACAGCATTTAAATACTTTAAAAAGGCCTCCGAACTAAACAATCCTGTGGGCTACAGCGGTTTAGGCCTAATGTATTTATACGGTAGAGGAGTGGAAAAAGATTACAATAAGGCATTCCAGTACTTTGTGGCTGCAGCGGACCAAGGATGGGTCGATGGACAGCTACAATTGGGCAACATGTATTTCAGTAAGAACATACCCAAGTACTTTATTTGCAAGTTATTTGAATGATTTGCGTTTTTTAGGCGGCTTAGGTGTGGATAAAGACTACAAGCGCGCCAATAAGTACTTCAACCTGGCTTCACAGTCAGGACACGTATTAGCCTACTACAACCTTGGCCAGATGCATGCTAAGGGAACTGGAATGCTCAGATCGTGTACTACAGCCGTAGAGCTGTTTAAGAATGTAGCTGAAAGAGGACGATGGGGCGAACTGCTGATGCAGGTATGTGTTATTAAAATACTGCCGATATTCAATCGTTTGTGAATTTGTTTAAATTGCAGGCGCATTCGGACTATAGGGAAGGCTTATACAATCAGGCCTTTGTCCAATATGCCCTGTTAGCTGAACTGGGGTATGAAGTGGCGCAGAGCAATGCTGCTTTCATGCTAGATAGAGAGGAAGTGCCCATGTTAAAAGGCGACGAAGGATTGGTAAGAGCGTTGCATTATTGGACTAGAGCAGCTGCTCAAGGGTATTCTGCAGCACAGGCAAGTATTTAATCTACTGCCTCATGTACTTAATGAAACGAACAGAAATGTTCTACTTGGAAAAATACGTTTCTTACAATGTTTTTGCGAAAAACCAGTTAACCAAAGTGTTGCACTAAATTAAACTAAATTGGAGGCCAAAAATTCAATCTACTAGTTTGAATATTTACTTATTCATGTCACTTCATATGTTACACAACTTTCAAAATTTGTGACCTGAATGCACATTAAATATATTATTTATAGGTCAAAGTCGGAGATTACTACTATTATGGTCATGGTACTTCGGTGGATTATGAAACCGCCGCAAGTCAATACAGAATAGCTGCAGACCAACAGCATAATGCTCAAGCGATGTTTAATTTGGGATACATGCACGAACAGGGTTTAGGGATGAGTAAAGATATTCACTTAGCTAAAAGGTATTTTTTATGCGCTCATTCTTTTGCGTGCGCTGCATTTCTTAATTTTGCAGATGTTACGATTTGGCTGCCGAAACCAGTGTAGATGCCAAAGTACCCGTTGCGCTGGCTTTGATCAAACTTAACTTTATATTTGGCTTGGAAAAATTCGAAGAGGTAAGTTTTGTTTAAAGGAAAATTTAAATTTCTGCTAGTTGAACTTTTTTTGCGTTATAGAGTCCATTTAGTCATCTTGTGAACTTTGCTGAAACTTTAAGCACCGACTGGGATCTATATTTAATTTCCACCCTCATGGGTTTACTCGCAGCGATTATTTACTTTAGACGGCCTCAAATTCAACCAGTTGTCTGACGTTTAATATGTTCTTTTCTTTTCGATTGAACCAGGAAAATTGATGAGATAATACGCAAATAAAGGTCTACAATTTATTTTTCAAAATTTAATTTTTCCTTGTGTTATCAGCGGGATAGTTTGCCCTTTATTTCGGCTTATTTGTGATAACATTGTTAACCGTTTTCCAAAGTCTGTGCGATGATAAATATGTGGATGGATGGCCGAAAGAACTAATGCCATACCAGTGCAGCTGATATTCAATTGGAATTGTTTATTTAAAATATATTTTATATGTCGTATCGGCTTCACTTCGTCCAGTCGCATCCAGCAATTAGAAAATGTCAAGATTAGTAGAATTAATTGAAACTTGTTCCTGTAGCTGTGTCGTAAAAGTAACAATTTCTCAGCACTGCTATGATTGGTATTTTAATTTATTTTGTAAATATTTCTCTGTCGTTTGTTGAGATGTATTATTTGTGTGCATGAAGTTGTTAAATATAAAAACACTTTACAATATTTTTGTTGTTTAATGGTCATTTACTGCATTTTAAAATAAAAACTTTCACTAAACTTTCTTGGACAAAAGCGGAATACAAAACATTTTATTATTTTCTTTACAATTTATTGAATACAAGAATACTAAAATAAAATTAAGCATAATAGTTCAAATTTGCCTTCTTCTTAGCTTGAACCTCCATAATGGCATCCATGTAGTCTTCGTGTGTTACAGCAGTGGCATTTCTCCTTAAAGCTATCATGCCAGCTTCAACGCAAACAGCTTTACACTGTAACAGAGAGGGAATGTATAAAATAACAGAATTTTTAATGTCTATAGAATGTCATACTTGTGCCCCGTTGAAATCATCTGTACTCCTTGCCAGTTCTTCAAAATTAACGTCCGGATTAACCGTCATTTTACGAGAATGAATTTGCATAATCCTGGCCCTGGCTTCTTCATTCGGATGAGGAAATTCGATTTTTCGATCTAAACGACCAGATCTTAGGAGGGCTGGGTCCAAAATGTCCACACGGTTTGTTGCTGCAATAACCTGTAAGATAAATAGAATTTGTACATTTGCATCATGTGTTATACATGGTGTTCCTGCATTGCAACTACGGGCAAAAGTGGGTAATTCTTACCTAATTTAATGACTAAAAAGTTTGATCAAAAAAATTACTACGAGCAAAAGTTGAGCTTGAAAAATAGCGATGAAAACTCAGAATTGCGTTCTATTAAAGAGCGAGAAAAAACTCGAAGAAAGATATATGTAACTACTCATTCAGTGCAACTTTTGTTTATTTTGTTACGTATGAAACTGCATAAAGAAGCTATAACATCGTAAACATTTGTAAAGGGTTACCTTTGAGCAAGAAAACATGTCAGTATTTAAACACCATGCCAATTTATTTATTTGATTTGTGTTTGCTTATCTTCATTCTTATTACAATCAAGCTGATTGGATCAAAAAAATTATTCAAATCGAATTGCTGCCTGAGAAAATATTTAGTCAAAACTCAGGAAACATTACTTCGCACAACACTTACAAACTTCGAACAGTCGAAACCCGCTTGTGATATTAAAAAGAAACTTGTAAATTCATGGTACGAAGCGTTTTTAATGCTGATGATCACATTCATTTTGAATCATGAATTCATTTAAAGAATTACCCCCTTTCGTAGGTGCACGACATATAGGAAGACCCAGTATTAGAACGGTTCAGTACTTTGATATCAGCCGTTGAACTGAAGCCATCCAACTGGTTTAACAGCTCCAACATGGTTCTCTGCACTTCCCTGTCTCCTGCCTTCTCCGAATCAAATCTCTTCGTTCCTAGAATGAAATTCCAAACGTGTATTGCCCATCGATGGATTATTTTCCTGTAGAAACCCTACCAATAGCATCTAACTCATCAATGAAAATAATTGCTGGAGCTTTTTCCTTGGCCAACGCAAAAGCGTCTCTAACAAGTTTGGCCCCGTCGCCAATAAACATTTGAACTAATTGAGGTCCTGCTAACTTCAGGAAAGTGGACTTGGTTTGTGCAGCGCAAGCTCTGGCCAGCAACGTTTTGCCGGTACCAGGAGGTCCATACAACAACACTCCTAAAAAGGAATTGATTAGCGAATTTTTGATCTACTAGGGCGTTTCACTTGCCTTTTGGTGGCTGAATTCCAAGGTTTACAAACTTGTCTTTGTGTGTCATTGGCAACACCACAGCTTCAATAAGTTCTTGGATTTGCTTGTCCAAACCGCCGATATCGGAATATTGTTCGGTTGGTCTTTCGTCCACCTATTTAAACCAATAATCGTTTTACAAAGATCAGTCACAGGCGATCGTGCGTTATTCTAATTGCAGTTCAAATAAAACCGGGGTAGGGGGTTAGAGAAGTTTGAAGAATCTCTATGCTGATTTTACACATAGTGTGAAGAGAATTCATAAACGCAACATATCGAAAATATTATCTAAAGTCTTACCTCCATAGCTTTCACTCGAGCATCATATTCGGCAGGCAACGTTTCTAAAATTAGGTACGAATCTTTATTGACGCCTACTAAGTCACCAGGTTTCAGTTTGTCTTCATCAACAAGCCCTATTACCGGAAGGAAGTAGGTTTGTCTCGTAGAAGTTTTCACCACTGCACATTTCCCTGAAACAATTAAAAACTGAATTACTTTAGCGTCCTTTAAATGGCTTAAGCAAGTTACCCTTTCTCTGGGAATCCAGATCCACTACAGCCCCATCTTCCTCCTCTTCTTGGGGGTCGACATCCAGCAGTTCAATAACATTAGAAACCAGATAGGGCAAGGTTTTGTTCACCTTGATTTTTTCAGTATTTTCCTTAATCTTCTCGTTCTGCGCCTGCAACTCGTGATTGATTCTCATCACTTCGCTTTTCATAATTTTTATCTCGTTGTCCATCAATCTGGTTCTGCTTATAATTTCATCACTGGACATTCGCAACACTTCTTCACCAAGTGCTTCTTCGCCATCATTCCACAGAGTTTTATCGTCCAGACTTGTCATGTTGGGCTGTTTATTCTTTTAATCTTATTGAAGAGTTTGAGGTAGGAAAATTAATTACGGGCGAGCAAATATAGAACTTGTTAACTCAGCTAAACAAATTGTTGACAATAAAGATCGCCGATTCATGGCGTAGGCTGTCAGTGTCAGTGAGACGTCAGATCATAAGCGCAGCGAAAAGATCGTTCGTAAGTGTTCAGTGCAGTTTATGCGTGAGGACGATTCATCCATTCGTGATTATCAAAATTTATTGTTTTATTTTCAGTTAAAATCCACTACACATGAAGCAGATTAAATGAAAATCATTCGAGGATAAAGTTGGGGAAACAAATCAAGCAATTTTACTCAAAATTATGTAATTTTCTGTCAGTCTCGGTCAAGTTTCGTCTGCAGAAGCTTTAGAACAATCCGCACAGACTGAGCGCGAACGCACACGCAAGTTTCGTGCGAGATAAAAAAAACTGCCACGTAACATATGATGCACACTCACACGACAACACAAAATAAATGATTTTTTTTCATAACTGGGCAATTTTTGTTTTTATTTTTAATTAAACCATTTATCAACGCTTGTCTTCACTCATTTGACCATCATCTACTTGTTGAGTTATGTCCTTCACTGCTTTAAGCAAGTGGCAAACTCTGTGTGGCAAACCTGGCAAACAAATAAATGTCACCCTGGCAAGTATAATTAATGGTTAATCAAGTGAAAAGTTTTATACAAATGAAAATCGCATTAAGCATGAGGTGAGCGCACGCATTTCCCTCGAGAGCATCTCATGCTTAAACAGTATTAAATTTATTAAATATCGAAGTGTCGTGTGACTTGAACGAAGGTTAAGTTTGGTAAAATTCGGAACGTTTTCCTTTATGATGTCTGGCAATTGTTTGTGAAAATTATTAGTTAATTTAATTATGTAATTCCAGCAATGATGTACAAATCAGTGCGCCTGAAAAGGAATTTTGCCATATGTTATTTGTGACTTGTTATAAGTAGTGTTACATATCAATAAGCCAAGCTGAGATATTAATTATAATCAATGGCTTATAACATTGATTGGATCGTGCCAGCTCTAAGCAAACCGACTCATTTATGGAGACTGGCAAGTACCATAACTATGGTAGCTGTTGGGTTATTCAGCAAAGTTTTAATTAGTAAGTTTTACACTTTATATGCGAGTCAAACATCTAGACCTTTTATTGCCGTTACGATACGTTCTTAGTAGGTTTATTTGTCTGTCTTTTAATGTTTAGTAGTCCTACAATTCACTATACATATATTGTGGAAATTGTGACGATATTAGCAAGATTACTCAAAATTTTAATCAAGAACGTCATCGAAAAATTAAAACAAAATGTGCCCCAACAACTTTCGATTTTAAATCAAGTGAAATCAAGAGTATTTTTGCTGCAAACTAGTCTTGTATTATTTGTATAATATTATTTATATAATAGCAAATTACATACAGCGTGGCGTCCTTTATTATGTTTATTTATGGAAAAGTGGCGATTCAGTCAATGAAAGTGTGAAAAATTACGAAATTCAGTTGGAATATCTAAATTACAGGCTCTAGGAGCTACGAACAGTACAAAGTTTTCGACCAAAACTTAATTTTTCAATTTTACCAGTGAACATCAGCAGATCTCTCAACAATTTTAAATAAAAAATGTTCCAATGATTTTTCTTGAAATTAAAATAATTTTTAACTTAGCGTTCAATTTTGAAGAGAAAGTAAATCCTAACTTTTTCATGTACGACGCCCTGTTTTGACAAAAAAATCACTTGCACTAACATCCTATGCCAGGAATTATTTCATCAAACACCCTGTATTTACAAAAGTATATCAATGTAAATACAACCGCTCATTCTGTGATTATAAACTGTAAAACATATAAATTAGTACGTGATATTAAAAAAAAAACTTATTTGTTCTGTATATGCATGCTAGGAGCCTTCTAAAACTATCACAGAAGGCAAAACAACAAAAATCACTTGTTGATTTTTCAGGATTGCTAAACAGATCCAAAATTTATAATAGGCAAGTAATATCAGACCTACTAGCGAATCGGGACCAATCTAGACCATTAGTGACTGTTTCAAATCATCATTCATGTTTTGATGACCCAGGCATATGGGGTAAGTGAAATTCATTAGTACATAATACGTCGATTCGTTCAAAATATTGTTTTTCCGTGCTTAAACTACGTCATGCTATTACTGGCAAGTAATATTTAATGCCACTCAATTTCCGAATATATTAATAAATTATGTTAATTGCAGTCACTTTCATCACTAGTCTATGAGTAAAAATTCAAAGCTCTTAAAGGTCAAGCATAGTTTGCCTATCATATTCGCATGTACACAAATTCACTGTCTAATTTGCTTTTTTTGTTGCATTTTATGATAACGATCGGAAAGTTACGTTGTTGTTTTAAATATGTTTTATAGGTACATTTTTATAGTGTTACGCTTTATGTATTTGTGGAAAGTCGATGATTATACCGCGAGTGGACAAAGTCGATGCCCAGCAATTTTCAATGTAGTTTTTTTAAGTAATTGTCGTGTTCAATTCAATCAATTATGCAATTAAAAGTTGATCAGGTTTCATCCTAGGTGAATTAAATGTCCAGTTGAAAAACACTTTTTAACGGTTTTTGTATTATTTTCGGCTCAACTAGAGCTGTACAATTCATCAGTATTTTTAGGCATTTTGCAGTTGAGGTCTTCTGGGTATAAAATTTGTGCTATGCAGAAAACGAATTTAATCGAAATACCATTACAACAAAACTAGTCAGGAGTCCTTATCCTGAGACACAGTAAAACTAATTCTTCGTTTCTCTAACCAGCTCATTCCACACAAGTTGATTTGGCAATTTTTTTACGTGTGTTTCTAATATGGATATTTTACATATTTACAATCTATTAAGTCTGTGCAAATTCATACGGTTTCTCAACGCTTTATTCCAGTTTATATTGTGTGAAATACTAATAACTGTTAGCATTGGAGTGGATGAGCTGTTGACCGTTTTCACTGCATACCTTCAACAAAGATATTGCGATTGTAAGGCGTTATCGAAATAGGTCAAAAGCATCGAGATAATGTATATGTGAAGATTTTGAACTCGATCTTTCTGATTAGAAAGCTATAAAAACTTTTACAAACACTTGAAACCAAAAGTTATTGCAGTTGAGCAATCTAACTTAAAATAATGGCATTCATTTAAGCAGATTCTAAGACGTAATTATCAGCATTAATGAATTAAACGAGCAAACTTGAAAAATCTGTGCGGATTGTTGAAAGAAAATGTTGCCGATGTTTAAAATAAAATTAGACCTATAAATTCCAGATAAGAAAATACAATTGAAATGAAAGCGTTTGCTTTTTGAAACACCCTGTACATTAAATAATGCATCGAAACATAAATAAATAGGAGCAAATCTTTAAATAATTGATTAATTAATGTATCAAATGAATCTGTTTCCTACCAACCCAATAAAAGGGAAATTCAGCTAAAAAATGTCTTTGTGTCTGTAAGTTTGAATTTTTTACTGAACTCCAGGCAGCCAAATCAGGATTCTCAAGTTGAGCAAAAAATTCTCCTCAATGGGTCTGAAGATTCCGAACATTGTTCTTCAATATATTTTACCCTTATTGAACATTTCAAAGCGTTCGTTGAAAAATACACACATATGTTTATTAAACGGTTGCACTACGTTAATAGCGAATTGGTGTTTTTTTGATTAGACTTGAACAGCAGCGATGAACCGAACTTGAAATATTAATCGACTTTTTGTAAGTGGCTGCAGAATGCCCAAGTTATTGTGTGTTTACTTGTAGGATTGTTTTTACATTCAATAATTTTTTTTCAGGCACACTTACATTGCGGCACCTTCTGTGTCCCTCAAAAATGCGTTGGTCGCTGGCTGCCCACGATATTTGTTTCACTTGCTCCCAACACTCCTACTTCTTTAGTTTAGGGAAATGTATTCCGGTAATACGAGGAGCGGGCGTATACCAAAAGGCAGTAGACTTTATGATCGAACGATTAGCTAAAGGAGATTGGGTGCATATATTTCCCGAAGGTAAGCAACAGCTCTAGTTAGTTTATTGAAAAGCCCTAAAAAAAAATATTTTTTGCAGGTAAGGTGAATATGTCCAAGGAGCACATCAGGTTCAAATGGGGTATTGGACGAATGATTTTCGAATCGCCTGTCCCTCCGATAGTGGTGCCCATTTGGCATATCGGCATGGACGACGTCCTACCAAACGAACCTCCATATGTGTTAAGATTAAGGAAAAACCTCACCTTTAATTACGGAAATCCCATTGATATGTCTGATATGGTAAGTACATATTTTAAGGTTGAAACTGATGATTTTTTCAGTATTTGAAGCGATGCGACATTATTTTCCACCGCGGCCTAAAAGCCCAGAAAACTCATCAGTTTCAAGCAATGCTGATATACAATTGCTGATATACATTTAAACTTGATCAACAATTTTTTTTAGGTGCGTGCATTGAAGTCGGCAAATGCAACAGAAGAGGAGGCCCGAAAACAAATAACTGACTTTCTGCAAGATCGACTGCAGAAACTTAAAATAGAAACGGAAGCTTTACACGCTCAATATTTTAGGTCAAAATCCTGATACAGGCAAAAATTCAATTAGGAGATTTAATTGGTATACTTTAAGGTAAGCTATCTGGAGGTAAAAATGTGGAAATCCGAATATTGGTAAAAAATCGCATATTGACCTTGCTTCCAATCAACGTGCGCTGAAATATCGAAAAATTCCAGGTTGGTTTATAGTGGATATTTATCGAAACCTGACTAAGGCTTGTGACCAATTTTATACGGTATTTGCATTTTAGTACATTTTGAAAATGTCTGAGAAAGATCTTCTAACTATGGCACTCTTCTAGCATTTCAGCATTCAAAGGGTAATAGCAATAAACTTATTTTCCTAAAAAATATACTTATAGGGTAGCATACATTAAAAATCAAACAGCTTTTCGTATTAAAGGCTTGATAGCCGTTGTCGATTGTCATTTCTCAAACAAACGTTTCCCTTACTTCTGCGGCTTGAATTATTAAAAGCCGGAAGTTGACAAATTTTCCCGTACACTTTTTTAATACTGCCCCAATCGAGGATTGAATTTTATATAAAAATGATTTTTAAAATGTTGATTTTTATAAACGCAATAGGTATAGCTTCCTTATATGGTGTTCTATTGGATGCCGAATTTATATAAGCTAGTCAAACTTAGTTTTAAGTACTAAATTGCCAGTTTCAGCATTGATAGCTTTAACGTTTCACAGTGGCTGTAAAGAAAGATTGTTTTTTGAAAATTTTCCGATAGTGTTATATTTTTGAAAATCGAGCAAGTGTTCATTTACATATTTTTTAAGCTTTTGCTGTAAATATTTGGCACATTATAGCCTTAATATAATTTAGATACTGCAAGTGTTGCCCGAATCTTTGAAATGAAAATAAATAATTAATATGTGCGTGAAATGAGAATTATCATGCCAACTGGTCGCATCAAAGCCAATTGAAATGATCAGAATGCCGATATTCAAGTACCAAAATTTTGAATCATTGCCAAAAATGCATAAATGATGCCAAATTAGAAAATGAATTGTTATATTTAATTTAAGCTTAGGTGATACCCAGAATCTATGGGTTTAATTGGTCCTAATTTACGAAATTTACTTTAAAAAATTATGCAACAAACTTTTACAGCCCTGTAATGTATTAAATTTGTTATATGTACAAAAGGGTTGTTTTTAGAACACGGCTTCCAAAGTGTTATTTTGTATATTTTATAGTTTTGTTGCAGTTTGTTGTTCAATCTTATGAATTTCTTCTACAGGTTCATATATTATATGTCAATGTGTTGCAATAGGAATATATGTAAATAATATTGACAGTGGGTTTCAGAAAACTATAGAATATATTCCCAGCCGTAAACGTATAAAGATAAATTGGTCGCTGTGCTGAAGCCCACTTTAATAACTATTTAATTTAAGGATTTGAAAGTTTACGAAGACTGCGAAATAGAATCCACATTTTATACGTTCATCTATTTCATTGGGTACATTAAGTAGACTGAGGCTATTTTATAATCTTTGTAATGGGTAGGTTTATGGGTGTATACTTTAACAAACCAGAGGACTTCCAAGACAACAACAAAAAATAATAAATCGACATACATTTTATAGTATCGTTATTATTCAAGAATGTACTGATTAGTTCATATGTCCCAGTATTGTTTCTAAAATATTAAAAACTGATACTTTTAGATGTTATTCATTCTCAGAGTCGTCCCAATTGCTTAGCTTTAACTTCGACGACAGTCTTCATGATGTTAACAAATGGTTTTGCCTTTTAGCTTTCGGTGTCTAAAAGGAGCAAGTAAAACGCGAAAGCTAAGACATGATTACAAATTTTAATTCTAATATAATTGATGGAATGTATGTTTATTATTTCAATTAGTTTGCACATTTTATTTTTCATGGCGTTTACATAGGAACTGTAGCAAACGCTTTAAGATTAACTGGGGAAAGTCGGTCTTCATATTGCAATAATCGACCCGGTCATTTGGATTTTTTATGGAATCAAAAGTTTAGAAATTTTAATTAAAATTATACCGACTTATGGTTTTTGATGGCCGCTCCTTTACTAGTCCTGCCAAAGTTAATCATAAATAATGCGCATCACTCAACTTAGAAAGATATTTTATCGAACTATTTAATTGAAGTCGATATTATTTACGGCTTCACCTTCTGATCTGCAATTCAGTAAACATATAGAAAATATCCTGAAAATATAAATGAAAATGCCTACCTCAAAGAAGAATCTTGCGATGAAAGTTGGAAATGAATCAAATCGCTGGATCGTTGCTTGGCAATACTCTTGTTTTGGACTCTTATAGATGCATCGCCGGTCAGTTTTAACTTGGGCATACTGACGCTTGAAGTTAACTTACTGTGGAGCACGTAGCTTTTTTCACAGAGTTTGGGTTCAAACCTTCTGTATCCAAGATCATCTATAATATTTTCAATTCCCACTTCTGCCCGAGATTCTCCAATTTTCTTGTCTGATGTAGAGGTGAATCGATTATTTTGCACCAAATATTCATCGCTCAGCAGCAAACTTTCTGGAATATTCACTCCAGATACGCTAGTTGTTGCATCTAGAAGCAAGTGATGGTACTTGTTGTCCGACCTGTCCTTTTCAGGCGTCAAGTCATAATCGGAGTCGAGCAGTTTCATGTCCATAAACTGACTGTAAGCTGTCCTGGTTAGCTCGAGGATATTCTCCATTGAAGTATCCGCTTCCAAGGAGTGAAGACTTACATCGTACTGCACTCCTTGATCCAGGTTAGTTTTCTCTGGAACATCCCTGTTTTCTACTGTAAACGTTTTGTGGCTGTCCATTGAATCGCGTCTTGTTTGCTCTGAGTTTTCAGCCAAAACGATTAATTTTGGCTGCGAATCCAGCAACGCTTTGTAAACATACACAGGGCCTTTGATCATTACATAATCCTCATCCTTTATTGAACCCTGCAGGATGACTTTAAGATCGGATGTTTTACATGGTTTTTCTTCATTCTCTAAATGCGGATTGGCATCCTTGGAGTTGGTTATCTCTCGACAATGCTCAGGTTGTTTTAAGATTTCCAGTGGCTCAAATTGTTTAAGGTTTAAAAATTCAGTATCATCAGCTTTTTTGTCTGACAAAGGCAAGATTGAATCTTCGTCCGGGATTAGATTACTTCTTGCCGAAGTTGGGACTGAGTGTAGCTTGTTAGAGGTGGTATTTTGGGGCGATTCTGTCAATGCCGTTAAAGACTTTGAATAAGTCGCATTTGTTTTATTCTTTGGAAGCATATTTCCACGCTCTTTTGTTAAAATTTGAATTTTCCTGCTTGCAACGCTTTCTAAATCATCATTTTCTCGAAGCTTTTCAGAGTTCAATTCGGGAATAGCAGATTCCATTCTCTCCTCCTCAACATCCTTTGTTACTTCTTCCGTCTCTCTCTCAGCTTTTCGAGCTGTTGTTGCGCTATTAGTTAAACTACACTTTTCGAAGTCGGAAGTACTGTAACTATTTGTCGCTAGTTTTTCTGATGACTCAATGTCTGTTTTACTACCTCCAATCGGAGTCTGTGTTACATTGACTGAATCAATTGAGTTAGAATCTGTTAATGCTTCGTGTTGGTTTTTTTCACTAAATAGATCTGCTACTGGCTCCTCTGAGGGGTCATTGAAAGTAGCCACATCATTACCTTTCTGGTTCAAAGCTGAAACAAATGGTTAGCTAGTTACAAATCTGAAAGATTGTGTTTGTACCTTCTAAATTCGTTTCTTTAGAATTGAGTTCTTTGACGAAAGTGTCGAAATCTGTAGGTCCTTTTTCTCCATCAAAATCATCATTTTCTTCGTCGTTCTCAATGGTGTTTGGAATGTGCAAATTGGAAGAATTAATTGTGCTTGTTGATGCCGCAGGCTCTGTGCGTTCAGTTACTCTCCCTAAAAATAGTTTTTACATGGTCAATTAAGAAAAATTATACCAAGAGGAGATTCAAATCAACACTTTTTTCATTGAAAATGCCCGCAAGATACAACGCAGCAGGATTGAAAGGCATCTAATTTATTATAGAATGTGAATATTTCATTTGTTCAATTATTCAAAGATTAAACCGATCTACAGACTTGACTTTATCGTGTAACTTACCCACCTAAACTCAATTTCTGCAACAATTTTAATAAACTGGGAGTGACTGGAGAAACATTCCCCATCGTATTATGGTCTCCCGATAAATTGTGGCTTTCAGCTATAGATTGCATTTTGTATAGAGACGATGTACGAATCACCGAACAATCCCTACAACCTTGAAAAGCCTCGCTGCTTAAAACGTAGCTGTGTCCATTGGGGGAATTCTGGAACTTGTTTAGGGAATCAGGTTGATTCACATCTTCAAGCGTTTGATATTCTTTGCAGTCGATATTCAACTCTTTGCAAAGATTGACTATATGAAGATGCATCTTCCTCTGCAAGAAAGTTACGGAGAACAAGTTGCGCAATGAAATATTAAATAAATTGCGCACCATGTTCAGCCGGTCTTTGTTCAAATCCACATGCGATTTGAAGAGCCTTTTTATATCACTGTTTGAGTAGAAGTCATTGGAAATAATGTCTTCGGTAATGCGAAGGAGAAATAACAGGTATTCGTGGTCTTCTGCGCTGCAAGCAAATGTATGCAGTAGGAATACTATGGAAGTTGGTACAACCCAGTTTACCTTCCAGTGGGTGATGTATTTGAATCCTCTCCTCGGCTATGATCTTCTTCTTTACTAATTGACGTTCTTTGACTAGTGGGAGCCGAAACGTGTTCACTAGTTTGTGAATTATCTTGTGGCAATTCCAAGTGAAGTCTTGTGCTTTGAGATTCAGTCGATGGATTGTTCACGCTTCTGGTTGTTAACACAGAATGGCGTTTTTTCTGCTTCAATTTGAACATGGGTTCCGCGTTATAGAAGGGCGCAGTTGAAAAGGATCTATACGGCAGCTGAAAAGCATTCCTTGAAATGCCAGTTAAGGGCTATCTAATTAGAGCTACTTACTGGTTCTTTTGGAGTTGCGTTATCGTTTCTTCTAGTGCCAGGCCTAGAGGATGAGGCCCCTAGAAGACAAGCTTCGCTCTTTGCTTCTGAGTTTAGGCAATTGTGTTTTTTTACTAAGCCTCTTCGTTTTGGGGGTTGACTTTGGTGTGCGCTTGTATTGTAAATTTTTCTACAAACAATTGTATAGATTCAAAGTAACTTTCCGTTGTTGTTCAGAAGACTGACTACCTTAAATGCTCATTAGTGGCCCCTTTTGACTGCTTATCCAAACCGTGCATTGCCATGGGGGATTTTAGTAAACTCTGCGGAATAGAAGTATCCACCGTACTTTTAACATTTTTCAGCATTTTGTAGTGGTTTCTCATGTGAAAATACACGCTTATATCATTGAAGTATGTAATAGTCATTTTAGAACGAAATTAAGCTTGAATTAACTAAGTAAATGGGAAATTTTTGCAAAAAGTGATCACTTACAACAAAGAAATTGCCTTTGATGCGCATGTTCAGTGGCTCGGACTTGTTTTCTTATGTAATTTAGACTGAGAAGGTTGAAAATAATGTTTGTAAAAAGTCAAACTTACCCAAATAATTTTCTGCAGCAAAGTGGAACTTTACACAACTTATTTTTTTATATATGAAAATTGCGCTAAATTTCAAAATTCCTGACATCCGTCAATCTTACAGTCAATGTTGCCAACATAGGCAAGTAGTTTTTTAGTTTGGAAGTTCTGTGGGCATGACGTCAACGAGGAGGAGGTGAGAGAAATATTCTATTGTGCGAATTTTGGGCGACAAATCTTCTATGTGTGGACATCGAATGCGGCGTGGAAATGTACTCTGATAGTCCTGATTTTTTAAATTACTCGTCTTGCCAATCACATCGATATCCGTGTCTCTTTCCCCCTGTATATCTGTGACAGAGACAGATGTAATACTATATGTAAGAAAGGAAAAAACAAAACTTCGTCACATTTTGTGAGGTGCGATTTTTTGCTTATGTTGGCGACAATTTTTTTGTTGTTGGCGACAATTTTTCATTAATATATTTTAGACACGCAAGTAAATATATATAATTTCAATTCAACTTGTTTGAAAAGCTAAAGTTCTTGCTTAATTTAAACCGTTCCGCTTTGTTTCTATTGGTTTACTCCGTTTGAATTTACTTGGCGCCAAAACCGGCCATTTTTAAGTCTACATTTGGCAACATTGCCATTTCTCAGTCTGGTCACCCTGGGTGCAAACACCTAAAGACGAAGAAGATTGATGCGGGAGTTGTCACTCGTCAATCTCAGACTTTCTTTGGCGTCCATTGCTGCTTGACTACGTGCTAGTTTTTGTTAGATACAGTTATCTCTGAATTTGAGTGAATTTGTGCAGTCCACAGTTACTTAAATCATCAATTATGAGTACCCGTGTATTTGTAGGTGGCCTCACTTACAAAGTTCGCGAACGTGATCTGGAAAAGTTTTTCCGCAAATATGGCCGCATCAAGGAGGTGTCGATGAAAAATGGATACTCGTTTGTGGAGTTTGAAGACTACAGAGACGCTGAGGATGCTGTTTACGAAATGAACGGTAAGGACCTTATGGGAGAAAGAGTTACGGTAGAACGTGCAAGGGGTACGCCCAGGGGCAGTGACAGATGGCGTGACAGCAGGGATTCAAGAGGTTTTGGAGCCCCCGCTAGAAGAGAGAGGAGCGACCGGGATAGGGAACCGAGAGGCCGTGATAAGTACGGGCCTCCCACCCGTACTAAGTACCAAGTAATCATAGAAAATCTGTCCAGTCGATGCTCGTGGCAAGACCTGAAAGATTATATGAGAAAAGCTGGTGAAGTTACTTATGCAGACGCTCACAAACACAATCCTAATGAAGGAGTTGTCGAGTTTGCATCGTTGGAAGACATGAAGAACGCAATTGAAAAGCTTGATGACACCGAAATAAATGGACGAAGAATAAAGATTGTCGAATCTGGCAAGAACAGAAAGAGCGGAAGTCGATCACGCTCTCGGTCGGCTTCACGTTCCCGATCTAGATCCAAGCAAGGTTCCAGATCCAGATCGAGGTCCAGATCTCCTGAGAACGAGGTTGCAAAGAGATCTGCTTCAAGATCTCGATCAAGGTCTCGTGATTAATCACACAACAGTAATCACCATAACATAACGGAGTTTAAAACCAAGAGAATTAATTTCTATGCGCTTTACATTAAAATTGCAAGAAAAAAACCAGAAATAATTTTCTTGCTTTTTGTTGAAAAACTAGTTTTAAGCTTGAGTTGGGGAAAGAGTTTCATATATCTATATATTGGGAGTTTCCAATAATCAAATGTAATCTAGACATAAGAAGTTGAATCCTCCCATAACATAGGCCATTATAAACGAAGTTAACTAATTCTCTATTTCGCCTGTATTATTTTATTCAAGTATATTCAATTAAATAATACAGCGAATGGAATAAGTTCTCACTTTTGTCTACCAGCAAGGTTGGTTTGTTTCAAAAACATGTTTAGACGTTCAGCTTAAGGGATTAACTATGATTGCATCAAATATCTGCTTTGATCGTTTTAATTTTTTGTGACCTTATTATAGTTAGAACAATATGACCATCAGAAATTTAAACTAGTGTTTAACAAGTAATCAATTGGAGGCTTTCAAATGCTGTATATTTATAATACATTTGGCGTGTTTAATAAAATATATAATTTCTTATGTATATAGACTGCAATAACTTTTGGTTGATGTGATTGTCTACTTATCGCAGACTATCAGAAACATCCACATTTTGACTTCATTTTATTATTTTTACTGCTTAAGTGAATTATTTTTTTTTATTTGCTCATATTGTAGGTTAGCAATTAGCATAATAAAAATCTGAAAAAAACATTTGTATCTTAAAAATGTTTTATGTTTTTGTGTAGGTGTTCAATCCATTCACTCATCCCTGTATTGAGAGTATTCCCTTCCAATAAAAGGTCAATTTGCTAACGAGGCATGGGAGGTGGTCCAGTCAAGATCAAGACTGCATTCCAAGGTTCCAATTTTGGTGGTGAAGAGTAGCCGAGCGCAAAATTGGATCCGATGGTTTATCAGTCCACCTGAGCTTATTCTCAACCGCTACCACATATTACTTTAACTGGCTTTGGAGAGTTACCAACAAAGGTTTTTTCTGTGGCTTGGACAAAGAAAACGTTTCCAATTCCGGTCGGCTGTTCCAAAATAGATGAAGGTTCCAACTAATTAAGGGGGCAAAATTCCAATGATTTCCATTCCATCCACCAGATTCAGGGTAAATATTGTTTTTGATAAGTCAGATCTTTAGTTTCCTTAGCGGTGTTTTATAGTTCAATGCTTTGATTGATGTTTTGTTAGTTTCACTGTACACCTTCATAGCTTATTCAAGCTACTCACATTATATAGAAGGAGTTTCAAGTTTAATTCGCATTTTTTAAAGTATGGTCGACAATTGGAAATAAATAATAATTTTGTGGTAAAACAATATTCTATTTCAGTTAAAGCATTTTTAGTTTCATTCGGTTATAGACTTAAATTAAGGCTACTATTTGCTGTATCAGTGGTGAAGATTAAAAAATTAAGCAGTGATTGATAAACTCAAATATGACTTCAATTCGCATCAGCACAAAAGCATATTTTCCATTCATTCGTTTTTTCTTATGTAATCGATAAGATTGACTGACAGTCTTCTATTGTATTTTTGCCAATTGTTACCATTTGACTTGCTCAAAATGCTGTTCATAATGTGAATTGATAAGCCAAAAGGTTGAAAATATCCCGGTAATAAGTCTGAAAGAATGTTTTGCATGCATTTGCAACAAAAAAATAGCTAATTTACGAAATTTGCATTTATTTAAATAATATCTTGTTCGATTGTTACATAGGTTTTGTCAGTTTTTGCAATTTTTTTTGTATTTTTAATCAGAGTGTTTTTTCATTTGCCCTCTACAATTCCCAGCGGTGTTCGAATGAAGCCAAAAGTTTTAATTAAAATCGGACATTTTTTCGATAGTTCATGTTCAAGGCAAAGCTGAGCGCCGATGAAAGGAGAAAAATGATTGACCTAAAGTAGCTGCCATGTCGTTATAATCGTAAAGAAGATCCGACGTTTTTTGCGCAATTTGAACTGAAAGTTCGATTAAAACCCGGTTCATTTTCAAGTGAATTATCATGGAAAAAGTACATGAAAGACCGATGATTTTGCAGGAGTTCATTGAGGACCTGAAGAAGAAAGCGACCATGGAGGCAACTCAAATCGATTCACTGGAAATTGATGCCAGACATAGCAATAATAATTTTTAAAATGTCTTGTGGGCTATGTATGCGGACTTGGCTAAGAACATTTGCAGGATTTTGCTCCCACATTTGCCCTACAACTCAGACATCAGTTTCAGCAAAAATAAGAATTGCATCCGAGTTTATGCATCGCTTATATACCTCTTCAATTCACATGGTCGTATTACTTGAAAAAAATTGAGAGTTTTAAGATCCCTCATGCAAGTGCAAATAAAGTTAACACTTTCTAGTACCTAAATAAACGGTTTTCTGGTTTAATTTTCAGCTGTTGTTAAAAAACTGACAAAACTTTTAATATGTAGCAGTCTAATATTATAAAGCGTTTATATTTTTCAATTTTCTTCCACCAGCCAAAACAGCACCGACTTAAATTGAAACCTCCTGCGTTAAGATAAATCATTTATATCACCGAATCGGCGGACCGAATACAAATCAATATTTGCCTTATTTTAAATGAAATAACGCACATATATCGAGCGCATCTTGAAGGATGTAATCGTCAGATACGTATTATGTATGTGCATTATCTCATTTAAAATAAAGCAAATATTCATTTCCATTCGCTGCGTCTGTCCGATACCTGCAAAGCCTCAATTATTTTAGGATAAATAAAAAAGTAGACCAAGAAAGCTCAAAATTTTCATGAAAACGTTACGTTTTTTAGTGACATGTTCATGTGTTGTTAGAACATAATTAGCCTGGATTACGCTAGGGTTTCTAAATTTTGGTATTTTATTGAAACTGGAATGTTATTTATAGGTAGTCCATTATTCCAGTCCCTAGCTTTCGCAATTCTTTCGACATCCCCTAAAACGAGCAACGTCTTATCCACAGCGCAGCCTCATCGGTCTACTTCATATTAAAGCAGGGATTAATTTCAAACCGATTTTTTCCAAATTGTGTTCCGCCTCCGAGGAGCCAGCGATTTCTACAGCCTGATCCAACTAACCCAAAATAAGCAAATAAAATCCGAAAGAAGTGAGGAGGACCAGAAAGGCTACAATTTTCCAATTTAACTGACCATTCCAGGCATTAGAGCAGATGCCTATTTTCCAGTAGTACCAGCCACTGTGTGTGAAGTGCGAGGAAACAAGGTGGTCATTTTGTTTATGAAGCTTAGTTAGAGATTGATTGATAACTGATTAAAATATTTTAATTAAACTCCACAAAAAAGAAAAAATCGGGATTTTTTGTAGATTTCTGAGTTGCGATAATAAATAACCAGGTCAACAAATTCAAGGAACTATAACGGTTGACGAAAATAAATGTTCTCCAATTAAATATGTTTATGCGATATAGGTACCTAAAAACAGATTTTTTCCAATTGATAAATGCAGAAAATTGCCTAATTTAATTAAGGTTTAAGGTACGTAAATAGAAGACTAGTGACGTTTTTGCTTGGAATTTTTATCTTTTTAATTTACTCATTATTGTATCACCGCTAGTCTTGGTCTTTCTGTGCCGCTTAAAGTCGCACGATTATTATTAAAGTGCCAATGATGAAAATGTGCAACAATATTTCCCAAAAGATTCCCGCACAAAAAGGTTGGCAACATTTCAAATACGTAAATGCATCTAAGTACTAATCGATTCATCATTTATTGAAAATTGTTTTTCTGTGCAATTTTATGGCATAAATTCGTACGAAATGTTAAATTCTGGTAAGCGATTAATTGCAGCAAAAGCATTTAATCGCTTGACGAAATGAAACTATAAATGTGCATTTTTTTAATTCACAGATTGGAAATTTTGTTTAAACGTGGAGTATTATTTTCGAAATGTAGAAGTAACAAAACGCGTTTTAAAATTGCTGGTATGTTAAATTTTGCCAACAAAAGATAAACCTTCCAATATTCCAAAGAACTCCAAAATACTTTTTAATTATCTCAGCTCTGAGTTATTTGTATTATTGATGTATTTCAGTGTTCATTAATAATTTAATCATGAAAAATGAAGGATAACGGGGACCTTTTTATAAAAGAAAAACAATTCAATAGGCATTGTTTACTTCAGATGCATACTTTACAAGTGTATTAAATTAAAAATATACAAAACATCCCTATACCTACCTAACACTAAAACAGCTTACTCAGTAAACACTTGTCTTTAGTATGTATACTAACTCAACTCTTCAACCAAGCAACTTAAGGCTCATCACAAGTACATTTATAAATTAAGAATCAGTTTGATTGCAACTAATTATTTCTTCTTCGTTCATAGAACGAACGTTCATCCATGCCATCACTTTCGGCAACCAAAGCTCTTTCTAAAATAACGCGACCCTCCTTGTACTTTTGATTGTCCTCAGTGGCAAATTCGTACATCCAACCCAGCTTCGAATCACAAGATTTGCAGGAAACGTCTCGAACCTATAGATAGAACGTAAAAAATAGATATCGTCAAAGTAGCAAAACGTACAAGATGGACTGATTGACTGAGTCAAATCTGTTATCGTCGGAAGAACTCATTCAAGCAAGTAACATCAGCCTGTTTTATATATTTTCAGCTAGTTAGTAATGCAGTATATCCAACATACATGGTTATTTTTGAGGAGAATATTAGAAAACCCATCTTTAACACAAGTGTTTCAGATAATGCGACAAAATCTGAAGAAGCAAAAGATTGTATAGAAAACTTGAATAAATTGTCAGTTTTCCAAGCAAAGAGAATTAACTGTTCCAATTCCAAAAACGAAAAATTCACATCTGTATTTGGCAGAACACAAAAAATAGCGTTCAAATAATCTAAATTTAGAAGACAAATTGGCACCGCATAAAAAATGTGTCAATGTAGGAGTACGAGAAAATAGAAAGTAGTAGAAACTTAAGTTTGAGTCACGCAAGCTGTAGACTTGTTTAAAGGAATTACATTTACCATGTGGCGCCCGGTCAGCATGACCCTGTCTTGGACTTCGCTATAGGTCAAATTCACTACTCGATTAAACAGAAAAGCACGTCCTGTGGCTCCAGTAAATCGAGTGCTGATCAATTCTGATCTGTTTGTTAAATTGGTGTCACATCTAGCGCAAGAAAACAGGCGGGTGCCTCCCATGTGCTCCAGGAAAATTTTACCCATCTTTACAAGCCTAACGAAAAAATAGGTATTCATATTATAAAAGATTTCTCTAAGATAAATTCAGTACTTACTTTGCAGAAAGAACAATGAGTTGGCTAATTTGCTCAGTATTCACAGATTTCGACCTGTTTATTACAGATTCATAGATTAACATGAAGAGAATAAACAAAATACAATGGCACGGAACCACAGATCACAGAGGTTACAGAGTATAGGTTGGACAGTTTAGCTTTCCCGCCAAAATGATTTTGCTAAATGCAACCACAGAGAGGCGTAGTCCAAAAATCCAGAGGATCAGCTGATTGTTTGCATGCGTTTGTTTT